CCAGCTAAGCAGATGTTCTGCCACTGCCTTCACAAAGGGCACAAGTGACTGGTGCAGGGAAAAAAAGACAGAAAAGGAAAACAAACTTCCTCATTTTCTCCTGCATTGCAGAGTCGGCATGCAGAGCAATTCCTGACAAGCGCTTATTTTATGTTTATGTAGATCTTGGTAACATTACAATACATTTTAATTGGTAGTGAGCAGACACTGATGCAAGATGTGTATCCAAGTGGACTTGTGAGGAAAGTCTTGTAAGATAAAGGATAGCCTAATGACAGTAACCATTGGTGAACAAAGTATTTACATCCTTTACCCAAGTAAAAGTAGCAAATCCTATGAAAGGACTAAAACCAATTACATCACTTCCTTATCACACACAGCGCCAAGCCTGTTGACTTAAATGACTCAAGCATATATTTTCATGTTTTAAGAAGCCTAAATAATTTCCTAAAATAGCCGGGCACTGTCGTTTTTAGCTAACGTTACTGGAACAGGATTAAATTGCACATTTATTGTGGACTATTTTCAACTTCATATTAATTCACATTTGGAAAGTTTGTGCATATTTAAATAATCAGCAACTACTTGTTAAAAATACACTAGTTGTGGATTCACAAATGAGAATATTTGCTGTTGAAAATGTTTGGAACTGTTGGTCAAACAAAACAAGGAATTTGAATATTAAAATGTGATGCTTTGGGGGCACAAGGAGCCCAACAAGTAAAAAAAATTGCTTAAAAAAGGAATTAACATTCAAATAATTTGCTGAGCTACATTTCATTACAACACAGTTTTCCATTCCCATACATAGAGCAACCAATCACTGCATGTATTGCTGTATATAACCTCAGATAATACTAAGCGGTATCATAAAGCAAGATCACATTTTCAGGAATGCAAGACATTTCCAGCATGAAAATTGCACTAATAGATGTTATTTGTCACACTTCTGTCCAGTCCAAAGGTTTATGTCGTCCTTGATGCATCTAACCTCTTATCCCTAACACCCTCTCCTCTCCCCCTCACTCTCCCTTTTCTTTTTTCTCTCTTTCACATACAAAGACACTCTATGCTGCCTGCAGGTTTTGACCTGTGAATAACTGCCCAGACAGGGTCTAGTCAGTCAGATGGGGAGGCAGGCTGAGGCGTCAGGGCCTACACGGCTCCTGCAGAGCAATAACAGATGCTTATCAGGTTGTGCTGAGGGTAGTGGTGGTGGAGGAGAAGGGGGGTGAATGTGGGACGCTGGGGCCCTGTCGATGAATGGCTCTGACAAAAACTGCCCTCAATCATGGGTAGACATTGTACCTTAGAAAAAAGACACACAGTTATGCCAGGAGCATTATAATGGAGTCAGATTCAGTCAAAGAGAGAGAGAGTGTGCTGGTATTTTGTATGTGTGCCTTCAAGAGAGGCAGAGAGCGCATGTGCGCACTAACAACCACTGCAGCTTTTCAGCAGCTCATCCTCTTGCACATTCCAAGTAGAGGCAACAGCAAACAAATGGCTTAAGGTTCAAGTGAAGTATGTTTCATTCCTTTCTCTGCTGTCTCCACTGCTCTTAAAGTCACAGGTTATGCTGCGAGCAGAGACAGGGGTTAGATGCAAGGTCAAAGAGGAGAGGATTACTCAAGATACACTTCAGATCAGTGTCAGTCCTGTAATCGGTAGTGATCCATCATGTGGCAGACTGTAATTTTTTGGTTGATGTTGCCATTGGAGGATGAAAAATAACCTTTGTGTGTGTGTGATAATGAAGATGAAACTATGAAAAGACGTATTCATCGTGACATACACAATCCTGCTCATTTGTAAAGGCTAAGAAATGAGCTGATAGAGCTGCTAGGCAATCACTATGCTCTTTATTGTTTCTTGTTGAGAGCAACATTTTTTTCTCTTTGTTTCTCTGCAGAGGGTCCAGCACATATTCCCCTGCTGTTTGCTGAAATGCTTTCACAGCTACCATTGAAGGTGGTAATTTGAAGTGCTTGCTCGCTGCTCTCCAACTGAATTTAATTCACATTTCGGGGACAAATATGTGTTGAAGTTCAATAGAAAGGCTGGAGCTGCATGCATACCATCACCCAACCTAAACTTAATGGCCTCGTATGAAACTGATTCAAGTTACTAACAAGGAAACATTCTAATGATATTTGGAGCCATTTTATACGCATTTGTACCTTTTAAAATGCTGACAGAAATGTATGGAATATGGGTGGAATACAGTGGAATAATGTAAAGTACATTAATGTATGTAATGTAAAGTACATTTACTCAAGATCTGTTCTTAAATTATAAAGTAGTACTTTATACTTCTGCTATAGTACATTTCAAAGGCATATATTTGACTCCACCACATTATCTAAACAACTAAAGTTAGTTTTCAAATTAAAAGCTTAATCTAAAAATACAAAAATCAGCTTATAATGCTGCTTACATATTAATGCATCCTTAATAATATATTGTATAACTAATAATAATATAATAGCAAACTTTATTTATACAGCACTTATCAAAACAGAGTTACAAAGTGCTTTACATGGTTAAACACAAATTAAAAACATTTCAAGACAGAGGCAAATTATATCAAGCAATTTATAATGACCTAAAGTTATAAGAAATGAGATTCCACAACAGTCATACAGTTAAAATTTACATATAGGACAAGATAGAAATGGCAGGATGCATTAAAATTAATGAAAGGCTGTTTTTTTAAAGTATGTCTTGAGAAGTGGTTTATTTAAGATGTCACCAAACCTGCAAGCCTCAGGTTCTCAGGCAGGGAGTTCCATAGCTGAGGGGCTCTAACTGCAAAAGCCTGGTAAACTTTAGTCTTTAGTCTGGCACTTGGGAACAGCTAACAGAGCCTTGTCCAAGGATCTGAGGCTGCACTCTGGCTCATAGTGGAGCAGCAATTCAGTAATGTAGCTGGGAGCAGAACCATGAAGTGCTTTTACAATGATTGGTAAAATCTTAAAATTAATTCTAAAACTTACAGGTATAGAGAGGCTAAAACAGGACTGATATGATCCTGTCTTCTAGTGTTAGTTAAAAGTTGAGAAGCTGCATTTTGTATTAACTGAAGTCATGATATAGTTTTTTGGCTTTGCTCTGAATGCAGTGAATTACAATAGTTCAACTTAGATGAAATAAAAGCACGGATGACCTTCTCGAGATCAGGCCAAGAGGGAAAAGACCTGATTTTTGATATGTTTCTTAAATGGTAAAAACATTTGTAACATGTTTTTAAAAAGAAATGTCACTATCAAATATTACACCCACATTTCTGGCTGCAGGTTTGATGTTTGCAGCTATAGGAATCCAAGATGTTTTTGTAAAATAGGTGCAGACCTTGGGTGCCAAAAATAATGATTTCTGTTTTATTGTCATTAAGTTGGATAAAGTTTTGGGACATCTAGGACTTTATGATACCTATACAGGATGAAATAAGAGGGCGATATGTGTAATTAGTACTTTTACTTTTGATTCTTACATTTTGCTGATATTTTGTACTTTTACATATGTGAAACCATGCACAAGCACTTTGCAACTGTGGCAAGGAAAACTTCAAGCAGAACAACCGTAACAATAGGACTAATAATAATAATTGTAGCAGTGGGTGTCGAGCAGGAACATGGGGACAGTAGGTGGTTTGCAGTCATAGATCTAGACTCTACAGCTCGAGATGCAGAAACACCTGCAGAAAGAGATGAGTATGCACAAAACTATGGCAAAGGGAAGGAGTCGAATAAGTAACATGCATTAATGGGATAAGAATGCATACAGATTGAGAGGAAGAGAAAAGAGCTCAGTGCATCATAGGAAGTCTCCTGGCAGTCTAGGCCTATAGCAGCAAATAGCTCCAACTAACTATAAGCTTTAGCAAAGAGGAAAGTCTCAAGACTAATCTTAGGTGTGGAGACAGTGTCCCGAAACCCAAACTGGGACCTGATTCCACGGAAGAGGAGCTTGATAGCTGAAGGTTCTACCTAAATAAAATCAACTTTTTGGTTGCCAGATTGTGGCTGGTACAAGGACACTTGCATTGTGTTTTTGATTTTTTTTAATCATCAGTAAGAAACCATCCAATGTTTTATTTATTGGTTTATTTGACAGGGACAATGCACTTTAATAAACACTGCTGTACATGCATGAGAGTTATGCTGTTTCTCGTTTGACCTCTGACCTTCTGGAAAAGAGCTCCAGACTTGATGAAATATAACACTTTAATAATATTAAAGGTTTTGTAACTGAAGAGTTGATGGTTTATTAAAGCTTAATTACCTTACATTTTATTAATGACTTCTTCAAACATTTTTCTGCAGACCTACTGGGGTATAAGAAAGTAAGAAACTCATGATCCTTTATGATGATTTTTATCAACATTTAACTGCAGAATTGATGACTAATTAAAAATGCATTAACTTTTATTGATGAAGAGGACAAATAACAGCAAATGGGACTTTTCCACAACCTGGCTACTCAAAAGTTATTATTAATGGCTCATAACTTGATCTATAAAGTAGAGCTGAAACACTTTGGACTTGTCTATCATCAGAAAGTTTTTATGTTATTATTCTATAGTTCCAGACTGTTTTGGGCTGTTCTACTAAACAAGTAATCCCAAACTCATTGGCCAAATGATTAATAGGTTCATCCAGAAAATAAAATTATTAGTCATATGATGTTCAGTTGCTTGTCTTTCACTGTACAACAATCTCTTCAGAGATAGGCTACAGATTCGAGCTTAATATAGTTGGACATTTGGTAGTTTTTAAAGAAACTTTAATACTGTTTTGTAAAGCCTTATTTACGTGCAATGTCCCTGAACTTTGAGCCAGGAAAATATTCCAAGTATCTGAGTCGCAAACACGAGGAGAAGGTGAGGTGAGGCGCTAGAGAGAAAGGAAGAGAGAGAAAAAGATTGAGGGCGGGAGGAGGGCAAAGTGTGCGTGTGGAGCAGAGAGGGAGGGAGGGAGAGAGAGACCAAGAGAGAGAGAGAGGTGGTGCAGTTAAGCAGAGAGAGGGCCAGGAGGGAGTGAGGCGACAGAGCGGAGGTGACAGCGGAGAATGGAGAGGAACCCGTCCGCCCGGCGAGCTTTGACCGCGGCGAGCGAGGAGAATCCACTCGGTCCTTCCCTTCTGGAGCCAGTGTGCTGAAAGAAACCGGGAGGAATTAATAGGGGGCAAAGGAAAGGAATGGCTGATCCTCTGCGGAGGACTTTACTAGCGAAATTCCGGGGGAAGAAATCCAAGAAAACATCGACGGTCGGCGGTGGATACGGCTCTGCTGCTGCGGTGAATGGGGGCCGAGAAGGTAAAGAAAAAGTTTTGCAAACACAGCGAGACTCCGACGAGGCTCGCCCGGTAGTGCTGTTCACGGGGCTGGATTGCACTACAGAGAGAATGAGTACGTACGAGAATTGTGTTGATTCTCCCGAGTGCCCGGGAGAGATGGTGCAAACTGCGGGGGTTGTAAAAGCTCGGGAGAGTCGCGCAACAGAGTTGGCCGGCGCACGTCCCCAGGAGCGGAGCAGCGGGGGCAGGGTTCGGGTTAATGAGGAGCTCCTGGGGGTCTCACTTCAAAGAGGAGTGCAGTCTGGGGGACTCGCGGTAGTTGGGGGAGATAGGACCAACAAGGTGCACAGATCCGTTGGCAAAATTACTTTATCAGCGGCGGTCACTCTTGCAGGACCGCATGTCCACAGAAAACACTTCGTCTCCGTCCCGCGGCAGTGCAGCGTTGGGGATTCAATAGGGTTTGGGGACAGTTCAAATCATGTTTCGCACCGAGCACGTGTAGAACCGCATACCGGGGTCGGTAAACCACCACAGGACCGGGTTACTACTCCTGATAGTGATGAGACAGAGCCCAGGGACAGAGGACACTCCCGGCACATGGCAGGGACTGTAGAGGCTGTCAATGAACATAACGCCAACTGGAGGTTTGACAACAACCACAGTTTGGAGAGGAGCTCGCCAGTTCGCGCGGCACCTGTGTATCCAAACGGTACGTCAAGAACCACGGAAGAAAACATTTTAATCAGAAATGTTGAGAGTTATGGGCCTGAGTATGCAGGGGACATTAGAGGGACTGCAGGCGGTCTGCAGAGCCCGACGTTTTTCCCCACAGAGTTAGAAATATGCGACATTAACATGGCATCCCTGTGCGCCACAGAGGGGTCACTTAGGTACGATTTAGATAGTGAGGATGAGGATTACTATGATAATGAAATTCTGCCTTTTTATGAAACTATTCGAGCAAAAAATGATGGTGATAGAGCAGAGGTTGCAGAGCTGCCACTGTCTGGGCAGGATAAAGGACAGCTGGATGACAGTAGCAGTGCCCAGGAAACAGACAGGCTTAGGAACCAGCTGAAAGAAGCTTATTACCTTCTTATCAATGCTATGAATGATATCAACCTGGATGCCCAACAGATTAGTGGCGGTTTAACTGAGCAGCAGGCCACCTCCTCCTGTAGTAGTAGCCAGTCCAGGGATAGCCTGTGCTCAAGGTTGTCTGCCAAAAACATGGACAGTGACTCCTGGTCCTCTGGAGGGGACCACAGCCCTCAGCAGGTGTCTGACACTGACTCACTCCTGCTTTGCCTCAGTGGGAACCTTGAGTCAGGCCTCAAAGGCAGGCTGAATAGTAAGAGTATGGTGAACCTGTCCTTTACTAAGATAAGACCCACATTACTGCGCTCTGCCAGTGACGGAGCTATCAGGTATCAAGGTGGACCCTTACTCTCTGTTCAGGACCCTGGTGATAACGGGGCTACAGAGACAAATGAGGCTGAAGGGGGTAAAGTCACAGGAGTGGGTGAGCTGTCAGAACCTGGGGTGCTTTATGATGCCATCAGCAGTGATGAGCTGCTACAGGATGCTGGTGGTGATGAAGACCGTGGCGGGCAGCTCAATGAGAGCAGCGGCTCGGTCAACAGCCTGACAGGTTCTACAGACAGCAACGCCGATGCATCGACACATCAGGGTCTTGACAACAAGCAAGAGCTGACTGAAGCCCGAGCACTGGGCAACAACTCTGTCAACAAGGGGCATGGTGTCACTGTCAACAAGATGCAGGAGTGGATGCACAAGGGGCGTTTGTTGTCTTCAGAGATGAAGCAGCGCATTGAGGGCTCATCTTTGCACCGTGGTCAAGGCCAAAACCAGGACCGGTCCTGTCCTCAGGCTAACCTTGGTGGGTGTAAACCAGGGGTCCAGACCTCTAGCCGGGGGGTTAAATCTGTCAAGGTCACCAAGTCACCTACAATCAAGTCACCATGTCAGCAGCAGCCAGGTAGGAAGGCTACACGGAGTGGCCTCAACTCCTGTGGATCCTCTAAATCAGAAACCTCTTCTACCTCCTTCCTCTCGTCTGATTATTGTCATCCTCCTCCACTCATAGTAAACTCCATCTGGTGGCGGTTCACCCTGCACGCCTCTACTTCTGGATGCAAAGCAAAGGGACGAGATGCCTCAGACCTCTTTGCTTTCCTTTTAAGATTCTCTAACCAGTGGCGGGTTCTGTCCTTCACACTAATTTAGGTGCATTTTAACACTAAATTAATAGCACATCAGGTTGTAGGTCGGATCACTCACAGTGTAGTTCAGTAACAACTAACTCACTCTTCTCCGCTAGCTGCACAGGTGTTTTTTGTGGTGTTGGTGGTGGGATTTGTGTGTGCGAAAGACTTTTGATTATGTACAAAATGCCAAATGATGTTCTGATTGTTCTTTAATGTTTTGTTTATGATAAGGTGCAAAAACAGGAAAACATCTGTACCATGAAACCATTGGCAGTAACAGGTGAAACGTGTTTTTATTTTAAACCAAAGGAGTTTGTTGAGGTATTCAGTGATTAGGCTGGATGTGAATTGGTCTAAAAAATAACCAGTTGGCAAAACAATTTCACTGCAAGGTCCATGTAGTAGCTGTTCTGGAGCTTTCAATCATATCAGCCAATCTTCCTCAGCAGATGGAGTTAACCCAGTTTGTCATAGAATTGTATGTTGAAATATCAAAGTACTTCTCGTCCATGTTGGCTGAAAGGTTTAGACTGAAAGTTCATTCTTGACCTCGGAAACTAGTTGACAAAATGAACACAAGGTGCGTTAACCCACTTATTATGCATACTAGTAATTTCATTTACATTAATTGAGACTTTGCACCACCTGGCATTAACTGGGACCTATATGGTACATTGCATTGCACATATACATTTTGTTACAATTTCACTGTGTGTAGTGCATGGTTTTTAAATTAATTGCACTTTTAGTCTGAATTGAGTGCAAACAAGGCAGTTCAATCACAGGATTCGGAAACTCGCCAACTGTGGATCAAAAACATTTTGCCATTTCTCTGTTCTACCACTCATAGTTGAAGTATGTGTTTGGGTGGATGTGTGTGTGTGTGTGTGTGTGTGTGTTTGTGAGTGCCTGCATGCCTGTGAGCATGTTTGTTCTTCTGACAGTGTTTTCCAGAGTAAATAGATGACCTGCCATGTGCACAGGCTGTTGTTGACGGTCAGTGTGCTGTGCTGCTAGAAATAGAGTTTGATCTCTGAGGCTGCTAATCAGAAGGCCTCTGTGTTTGGCTTCTAGCTGCTGTTGGCTCAATATAGCTATACTTTTACATCCCAAGCTCTTTCCTCTTTTAGTTAGAATCAAGACTCATCTTGATATTACTTTCCAAGTTCTCTTTTCCACCTTGATACTAATTTTTTCCCCATTTTACTCAGCTTTCCCCTCTCTGTCCCCACTGAACTTTTCCACAGCTGTGGCCAGAGGAATCCAAAGCAGGAGAGAAGCCACTGCAGTAACTCTCTGTGGTAGTGGTGTGTGTGTGTATGAGAGTATAGGGGGGGTTGGGCTGTCATGTTGCCTTTCCTCCCCAGTCGTTTGCTCTGGACAGCCCCATGGTAACTTGCATTTTAAAGAGACTTTGGATTGAATATTTAGGATGCCATTCCTGTTGTTTAACTTGTTTGCGTTGTGTCACTTAATTCCTCACCACGAATGAACAAAATGAAGGGCGATTAAGTATTTATTAAGGTCAGCCCTTGGCTTATCTTGCCCCTGTGGGCCTCTCACTGCCGCACAAAGAGCCATTAAAAAAAAAAAAAAGATATGCCAAAGCTCTCAAAAGCTCCAGTGAATTGCTTGTCTTGGCTGGAAAGTCTTCATTGAGTTTATGGCTGTACTCCTAATTTCTGCAAATATTTAAATATTTCTGATGTTGTAAGAATAGTCCTGGTATTGGCAGGCAGTGGCGGTAAAATATTGGCTTAATTAGACTTCAGCTATTTCTATTTTGATTTGTCCTTTAATTACTGTGTAAAAAAATCATGTTGATTATCACCCACAGCTGTGTGTCACTCCTTATGTGCATTTGTGTGGGTGAGAGATATTGTGCAGATGAACATGCAAATGCGCATCTTTAGTGTGTAAATGCATGTTTGCATTTGCAGTTGGAGGATTTATAGTTTTGTTGTGTTGTGCTACTGTAGAGGATTGGCTTGCCGGCAGGCAGACAGTATCCAGGCATCATGTTTTGACCAGACCTGAGCTCAGGAGTAGTGTGTCAGTTAAATCTGATGTTGAGACTGAGCTATAGATACCACAAACAGAGGGGAATGAGATCCACTCCTGGGAGGCATATACTCTTTTATTTTCAAGCAAAAAAAGTTAAATAGCTTTTTTTATCTCCCCAAAAGCAGTTAGATCTCTCTGTTAAATATGAAGCTATTGCCAGCAGCCGGTTAGTTTAGCAATAAAGACTGGAAATGGCTGCCTCTGCCTCTGCCCAAATTTCAAAAATATGTCCAAAGCTTAATGAAGACTTATTATCTTGCAATTTAATTTGTACAAAAGTGTTAATTTGACAAGTTGTGGTTTTGTGAGAAGTTATGTGTCGGAATATTTTGTGGCATGAAGCAGTTACTTCCTGGAATCTCCGCTCCACAATGTGTTGTTTTTACACTTTGTTTTGCTCAAATTAAAGAAATGATGTAAAGTGTTAATCGGTGAGTTTTAGAGGTGCTGGTATGCAGATTTTATCATCTTCAGACCCCTGCTAACTGTTTCCCCTTGTTTTCAGTCTTTGTGCTAAGCTAAGCTTACCAGCTGCTGGTTGTCGCTTCATATTTACCGTATAGACACAAAAGAGGTATCGAGCAAGCAAACAGGCATATTTCCTAAAATGCAGAACTAGTCCTTTAAAAATAACACATTGAATATGAAACAGAGACACTCTCTGGATTAGGAACCAGTGCAGTATTGCTGAATATTTTGATTACATTAATTCCTGCTTGCTCAGTAGATTTAAAGTATCTACAGAAGGAGATGAGAGTGCAGGTGTAAAATAATCCTCCTAGACCGCTGTCAAGTCATGTCAGAACGATGTGGCGTTCTGCTTTGTGCCAGAAACCTTGTTACTGAGCTGCAGAGTTTTTTTCACATAAACACACATGCTGATGGTGGAGTTACAGTAATTTGTCTTGTCTGGTGTGTCTGTACCTGGACAGATTTATGGAGGATGGTAGCTCTAAAGACAGATCAGGTGATGGAGGAGAAACTTGAGGCATCAGGGTTCATGCCAGGGTGGTTTATGAGATGGATGTGTCACATGATGTTGTCTGTAAAGAGTGCAGGGTAAACACTAGCAATTTATTTGGCAATTTGAAATGACTGATTACAAAGTGTTGTTGAAGGGGCTTTCAAGGACTTGTCTTACTTTTACCAGTGTTTTGGACCTAATTGGGTCACACTGTGGACACATTGTGCCTTTTTTAGATCGTATATAGTATCCCCCCTTGAAGCATTTTTATATTTTTTTAAACAGACACAATAAGACAGCACAGAAGAGTCACTGAAAGAACTGCAACATTGAAAAGAATTTGGGTTACAAGCCAACATATTGAGTAGGAAGTGCTATTAGCATTAGTAGGCTGTGTTGCCAGGACACCTCAACGGGATGCAAGTGTTGACATGTGATGCAACCCTGGACGATCTCAGCAGCAGTGTATAAAGAAAAATCCACACTGAGAATCCTCATTACCATATGAATGGGTGTCAACAGGGATGTATGGCACACAGAAAAAGATTCCCTCTGACGGGGGGCTCTGTACACACAACAAAGTGTTGTCTGTATGGAGGAGAAAACTAGCTGGTGTGTGTTTTGCACTTATCAAAAGAGGAGCCTCTATGAAGCAGGAGGAATTCAGGAAATATAAGAAAAGCCTATGGGAAAGTGGATCAAGTGTTTTGTCTTAGAGGAGAAAAAGATTTAGACATGAGTATAATTGGTTTTACTGTCAGGCTTACATGGCACACAGGTTCACACCAACACATCCAGGAAATAAGCTTTTTTCTTTATAAGTTTGCATTCCATTCAGCACTTCAGACAAACCCATATCGTTCCTCCCCGTCCACCTCTCTCTCTCTTTATTTTCTCACACAGACGTGCACCCTTGTATTATGTGCTCTGGCCATCTGTTACCTTCAGGTCAGGGGTGTGAGTTTTTCATGCCCTGAACACATCATCTTCATGCCATCATGGCACAGGGAGCCACGCTGTGTTAACTCTGTTATGGAAATTTTATTTAGCAGGTTCTTCTTTTTTATTTGTATCGTTTTTAGAGGAGGTTAGCAGATACTTGATGATGAGTGATGATCATCTGTCTCTCACGCCAAATAACAACCAAAGTGGAAAAGGAGCTGTTTTCTTGTTGTATGTGGTAACATACTAATTAGCACAAATGAAAATTTTAAACTAATAAAAATCTTTCCTCTGTTGTCCAAAAAGATATTCTGCTGGATTAGAACCCCTTAGGGTGCACCTAATGGTAATTTTCAATATTATTGAATTTGCAGATTACTTTCAATTTGATCGATTAGTTGTTTGATCTTAAAAATTGAGGATCACAATTTCCTAAAGCCCAAGGTCAGTTTTCAAATTGCATGTTGTGTCCAAACCCCTCAAATTTACGATCATATAAGACAAAGAAAAGCAGCAAATCCTCAACACTGAGAAGCTGGAACTAGGTAATGTTTTACATTATGCTTGAAAAATGACTTCACAATTGAATCTATTAATTTGATTATTTTAAATATTTGCCTGTCCATTTTCTGATGATCGATTAATCAACCATTTTTGCACCTCAAACACCTAGTCTTCATTGTTCTCCATCTACAAGTATCCTTACTGTTAATATTTATGTAGGGCTTTAAACAAAGGTCGTTTAGGCCTATATCTCTTAAATTTTCCTATTTTGCTTCAAGCTTTTTTTCCGACTTTGATAGGATTATTTCTGTCATAGGCTTATAACTAACGATTGCTTTCTTCTAGTCATGAGCGATGTAAGGCAGCGACTGTAACCCAAGCCAAACTGGGGTTGGCTGGCTGGCTGTGGCTTGGCTGCGCGGCTTGGGACTGGCCTTGATGTCTTCGTGGCCTTGGCTGATTTGCAAACAGCAAGCTAGTCAGTAATATGAAGCCAGTGGTCAAAATACAATACACATTACAGATAGTAACATTATTGTAAATATGAGTGTATGACAGTGTTCAGTCTCGCGCATATGTCACATGAACTGGATGCTGACTGCAATTCAGTCATTGGCCACAGGTGTCATAAATAACAAGGGTTTTATGAAAGTTACACAAAGAACCTTTCACTATATATTGATGTTAATGTCATTTTTATGAAAGGCAACCTCAGAATTTCAATGATTTGTTTTTCATCAGGCAAAATGTTTTGTGGTCTGTAGAAAAGTAGCTTTTCACATCAGAGTAGTTAAGGAGGGAAATACTGGCATGCTGATGTGAGGAGTTGGCGACTAAATGGCTAAAATCTCACTTAAGTCAAACCAGTGTCCTGCTGTTGCGTTGCGTTACTCCTGCAAAGAAGTGTGACAGTGGAAGGAGACAGCGGCAAGGCTGTAAATCTGGAGCTGTGGTCTGGAATGCTGCTCATGTCAGAACACGCTCTTCTTGCAGTTATGAAAGACCCCTTAAAGACGATGACAACAACTCCATGCACAACCATCTCACCTCTCTTTTGTCTCACGTTAACAGATCGACCATTGGTAGCGGTTTTGGATTTGTCTTGGCCTCTCCCCAATAATATTCTAACCTAACCAATATCCTGCACTTTCAAATAACCCCTCTCTTTAACGTTTTAAATTTCTTTTTCCATCAAGGTGTGTATGTGTTTGTGTGACAGTTAATTTTTGATTGAAGGACATCAAACAAACTTAGTTTCTACATCAAACAAACTTAGTTTCTACATCTTAAATGTTCCTTTTTAGGTCTTTGTGTCTCTGCCTCTAAATTACTTTTATATACAGTCTGAATTTCAGTTAACATTCATTTGATTTAGTTCTTCTGCCGAAAAGAGAGTCCTCCAAGCTTAATATCGATTATAGGCTAAAGAATCTGTAGTTTGGATGTGTCTTGTTCTTAAAAGTCTACAAGACTAACAACATTAAACCAAGCCTGCCAGCTTGGTCCTACACATTAACTGATGTGACTTCGTATATAGCACCAGAAACACGCTGTTGATGTTTCACCTTCACTCAGCAGTTGGCACATGCTGAGCTCCAGACCCTCAAACACAGCATCAGGCCTAATCCAGGCTAATGCAAACACACTGCTGGCTCAAACAAACACGTTTCTGGCTAGAAACCCTCCTTAAATTAAACAGAGCAGAAAGGCAGTAACACTTAAAGATGTGCTTATTTCCTGGCAGCTCGGTGGTCTGTTTGAATTAAAATGAAACAGATGACAGACAGGGCTGTGATGAACTGTTTTTGTATTTCAAACTGTTTTTGTTTTGTTATTATACTGTGGAGATTAGTGCCTTAAAAGTGGACTCTGTTCTTGCCACTGAAAGCTGTTTTATATAGCAGTGTGTTATATAATCAGCTGGAACGCAGAGGAATGGCGTCCCAAATAGAATGAATTTCATCCCACTATATCCTACTTGTCATATTTCTCAAATGGGGAAAAAATTCGAGCAGCAAGTAAAGAAATAAAGTCCTCTTTTTGTTGTGGTGAGAGGAACTCCAAAGTTGGTGTTTATGGGATTTTGAGGCACTGGAAATGGCAGCAATTATTGCAAGTGAACAGTTGCTTTACACAGTTGCCTTGTAGATCACATGAAAGCTGTTCAGAGAGACTGGTGGACTTCCAAAGAAAAGTAAATCCCAGTGGAGCCCTCTGCTCTCTCTGTGCCACTTACAGTACTTTATCAATAAATGCAACCAAGCAAAGAAATACCTTAGTGTCAATTGAGTACAAGTACAAGTAAAGTAATTTAAAATCATGTGATTTTTTGTACTTCTCTTCTTTTGCTCTGGATGAATAATATCAAAAAAACATCCTGTCCTGCTTTATTCTTACGCATTCACACTTTTTAATCACACATGCCAGATAACCAGTGTTAGATTTTGATTTTTGTCTATAATTTAGTGGATGTAGCCTGGCGTGCATGAAAATAAGTTGTCATTATTATAGCATGTGGAGGGGCTCGTCTGGGAGCTGCTGAGGATCAAAACTGTCTTATACTTGAGGCTGCTGTACATGTTAGAGCAAGACCCTGCCCTCAGCACCTCGCTCTCCCTGTCACACACGCATACACAAGCACACACACACATGCTGAGAGGTTGCTTTTCTCTGACTGCATCTACTCATCAACCCTTGTGAAAATTAAAGTACATCAGATGGTTTGCAAATGCGCTTTTTGATTTCTAGGAAAACAAATTCTTACCGCCTGATTGGAAAGACATCCACAAACACATCAACACACTCAAAGCTATGATAGACACGTCACCATCTCTATTATTTGTCCTTTTTCTCTGCACACTTCGCCCCTGGCTGTACTTATCGTCACCCCCTTACACACACACACACACACACCCTCCTTTCTCTGCTCTATTTTCACAGCTGTAATGCCAGCGGTTTCTCGCTCTTTTTTTCAAAATTGCTGTGATGGAAGATATGTGTGCTAAATCCCTCCATCTCCCTGTGATCTCTTTTGAATTCAAAGCCCACATATTCCCAAACCGTCACTGGGGAGAAAAGGGGGGAGGTGCTCTGGGGGACTGTGGTGGTGTGATTGAAAGTTTGACTTTGGTCATAAAAACAAAATCCAAAATCCATCTAGAAGTTATAAAACATATCACAGTCGAAAGAGACAAAGCAAAGACGTGGCTGTTTTTTCTTGTTGAGATAAGAAGAATGGATGAGAGAGGAAAACATTATAAAACCCAATGGCTTTATTCAGTGTTTGCACACCAGTGGTTTCTTGCTACAGATGTTTTCTTCAACTTGACAGCACATGAATAGTCTGAGATTAAACATCAGTTTCTTTCACTTTATTTCTATAATTGCTTAAATTATGATCATGATGATGATGATTAGTTGCTTTTTCATGCAAGCCAAATTAGTTTTTAGTGTTTCACTGTATGAATTTGTAAATCTCACACTCTGTCTCTTTCCATCACTCCATCAGCTTTCATTGAGAATGTCCAAACCCCCTGTGCTAATGGCCGTGAGGTGGGCAGAGCCAATGAGTCATGGCGGCCACCGCTCACCACCATCACTGTCTCCAAGAAGCGCAACTGGCTGCAGCAAAGCTCCCTTGGGAAGAATCACTGCAGCAAGGACGAGCTGCAGGGAATGCTGGGAGCTGAGGAGGATGGCAGCCAGGGCTCCCATCAGCCGCCACCTCCTCCCAGTCCTTCTCCAGACCACCTGAGACCCTCAGGGGGAGCCCCGTCACGGCCGGTCCGCCTGCACCTGCCCCAGGTTAGTCTCGAGGTCTCTCAATTAACAAGAATGAGTTTTAAGGAACAGTTCAAGAGACCAGCAGGCTAGCTGTTGGCTAACTGGGTGCTGGTTGCAGCTTTATATTTTGCGGACAGACATGAGAGTGGTTTCTTCTCATCTAACTTTTAGCAAGAATGCAAGGATGGAGGAGGATGCTAGGATTTCCCATAATGTCAAACTATTTAATTAAGGAAGTGACATAGGGCATGTTAGGTTAGGTTAGGTTAACACTCTGCTTGGGCACAGTGCAGTGTTGCTTCATAAAAAACATCACAAAAGACATCACACATCACAAAACACATCAACAAGAACCTCAGAAGCATTGACATGTTGTACGCCACAAGAGGGAAATATAAACACAGTGGTTGCTGTATGTTTCAGTTCAGGTGGCCTGCTTTTTTAAATCTTTTCCACAAAGTTTAACTGAAGACTTTGGCTTTCATCTTGATTCAGGTTATCGTCGGTCAGGCCAAGGTGTCTCCTCACCCTCGGAGCATGGACCCAGCCGAGGAGAATGACGCTGATGATGAAGGAGAGATCTGGTACAACCCAATCCCTGAGGATGAGGAACAGGAGATGTCTCGACAACCCTCCATTCGGCTGCTGGTTCCCACTCGAGCAGAAGCCCACAGGAGGCCCAGCAGGGGAGGGGATGAGGGTCATGGTGGCCGGAACCTGGGAGACGGAAGCCGTGCCGGGCCTGAGGCACTCGGTGAAAGCCTAGGTGGCGGGGGCGGTTCAGACGACGGGAGTCAGGGGAACGCTGTACATTCCACAGAGGCACTACATCTGCACAGACAGATGCTCGCGTGCAAACCTCAGGAGGAGGGGGGGCCTTCCACCAGCAAAGCCACAGGTAAAGTAAAAAAAAAAACCCACATACACACCTCTGCTCATTCTTAGTTTCCTTCCCTTTCTACTTTTTTGACTTCTTCGTTCAGATTTTTGCCCACATTGCTTTGGGATGATGCTCGAGAGCCAATTATTTTCATTTTGTCTCTCAGCCAGTTGTTCACACCTTAAACAGTAATTACAGCTACTGTTGAAAATGTTCACAATCAGAGGATCAACAGATGTACTTAGCTGCGAGTAATTCCAGGCGTACTATAACTTTACTAATTATTTAAGCGTGAAGTTTAAGGTGAAAGAGTTTTGCTGTTTCCTCTAGAGATCTATAACAAATATAGTCGTCCTTGCTCACGTTTTTCTTGTTCTGTTTGATTTAAGAAGACAGGAGCTATGGCTGTCTAATAATATCACTCTATATCAGTGTCCCTCATTAGTTAAACTCAGACAGACATTAGCCAGGAGGAATTCAGAATAGGCATTCCTCAGTGGAAATAATATCCATTTACTTGACCACAGATCACAAAGACGGTCTGTGAACTTCAGTTGGTTTTAAGTTTCTTTGAGTTCTTAACTGAATAAATATGCTCTCGCCTTTAAAGCTTGTTCATTAAAACTGCACTGCAAGATTCATGACCTGCAGAGTTTAAACAGAATTACTGTAAATTAATTGGAGTACTCTGTCTGCACTTTTTTATTTACTTGTGCGCTTGGAAATTGTTGACAACTCTACAGCAACAGCATAATGATGACAGCCAGCACACGGCTCCCTGTCTCTTTATAAGCTTGAACTGTTTTCTGACTTCCGACTTTTTGTTCTCTCTGATGTGGCAACATGGTAGTTTCAACCAATTGGCACGTCTTGAACTGAGCCTATAATTACAACTTTTGACAACACTTTTCTGTGGCACGCAACAGCCATTTCTAGTTGTAAGAGCACAAAGCGAGGCAGAATATTTTGGGTACGCTGAACGAAATCTAATACTTAAGCTTTAGTGTTCACAGCCACCGTTTTACTGCAGGAATAAATGCTTGAACAGAACTCAAAAATAACAACTCTTTTCACATTATTGAGACCCATTCCAATAAAGAAAGAATATACTTTAGGCTCCTGTTTTTCCATGTTTCAAAACAATAATCTGTACTTATAAAGAAACTGTTTGCCTATCAGATTGGAAAGTCTTAATTTCTTGAGGAGTTGCATTCTCTCCAAAAACAAATCTGCCCGTGACAAGGACAAAGGTTTGATTGGCAACAGATAAACTCCTTGATCCTCACTGACTATCCTCAAACTCCTGGCTCTCTCTGACATCACGTGTGGCTCAGCAAAACTCTCCGTCCTGAGAGACTTTCTCTGTAGGATTAGGATTAAAGCAGTCCTGAATGAGTCTCAGTGTACTGGCCCAGGAGAGGCATTATCATTGCGCACAGAGCTAATTCAATTTAGGCTATTTCTGCCGGCACGTTTTGATAGGTTTCAGACCTATTTTGCAGTCCAGATGAAATGGGCTGTTGTCATTAGGGCCTTTAAAGCTAGGTAAGCAGAAGAGTGGACATTATTGGAGGCTGGAGTTGCTTTGTTCAGCAGTGTTAACGGAGAAGATATCGTGTTCTGAGCTTCTGTTAACAGATATGCTTTTTAATGTTCCCTCAGCTGTCAACCAAAAGTGATTCATTCCATTAACTTGCTACCATTCAAAAACCTGTGCCTCATTTACATCCTGTAACAAGATTCAGTTTAATGGGAGCACTTGCTGTGTGATAGTGTTGGTTTACTGGTGCTCTGGTTGTTGTGAAAATGAGAAGTGAGAACAGAAGTGTTGTTTTTTTTTTTCTTTTCCCTCCTGCTCCGGAACTGCCCCCCTCTCGTCTGCCTGTTGACTTTGCAATTGATTCCTGTGGGTTTGGCGACGCCATCCCACCCTTCACTGCAACGAAAAAAGGCATCAAGCCTGGCTACGTGTCATCAAAGAGGAAACAATCATTAATTGTTGTTTATGTGTGTATGTGTGTGTTTAGGGTGCAGCAGGCACCTTGGTTTAATAATACAATAGTATTATAGCACTGTGCACTTTTCATATGACTGAAAGTGCCATACCAGTTACAACTACTCGCATGTAGATTGCATCACAGCTAACCTTTTTGAAACAATGCAATTCAGTTTTTGGTTTTTGAATGCATTTTCCCACTTTTCATGCAACCATTGGCTTCTATTTATTTTAGGTGCAAAAACCAGTTAACAGACTCTTGAAATGGATTTCTGTGATTCATTGCTGTAAACATCAAACATCAACATCTGGACCGCTTTCCATCCAACGATAATGCAACGTGAAGTTCACTGAGATGAAATACACAACTCGAATTAGACTTTTAGCCATTTTATTGATTTTCAAACAGTACATCTGAAACTGGAAAATGTACATAATTTATGGTTAAAAAGCTAAAACATGACAAAACATCATTGGTATAATGATATTTCATGGAAGCAGGTACCAAATAGCAGAACTGGAAATGCTGTCAAACTGCTACCAAATCCTACCAAACTAAACCTCACTAAACACGTCTTTTGGTAGTTACATCATTGGTACCACCACCATCCATCTACTGTCTGTTTGTTTAGTATACCACATCATGGGGTGCCTCACCACATTTTTGTAAATGTACCCTGGCCTCCTAGTGTATAATGGTCTTTGATATAAGCTAAGTTCAGCCACAGTGTTGAACTCTCAGGACACTATTTTTGTCCCATCTTTTGTGTCTTCTATTTTGGATTCTTCAGAAAAATAAGCCCATACAGAGTCTGCTTTATCTGCAGGGCTAACAATTTGACAGGCCTTTCGTTGATTAATCATGAATAAGAGCGTCTGCTGAATTAATGAAACAGTGCAGATGTAGATGACTCACTATAGCTTTCCTCTGTTCAGCTGGCTGGTTCTTTTTCCCTCACCGGATACACTCCAGACTCCTCGTGTGCTGCCTATTGACTGACTTTTTGTCCATCTGAATGCTCTATTTGTATGGAGAATAATGATTGATGGACTTTGGGGGTGGTGAGCATGATGTGTTCCCAATCTCTTGTTCCCTTCAGCGCCTGTTTGGGGAATCTGACTTGGCCAGCGCTCAGAATGGGATCAGAGCTATTTCTGGGGGTTGTTTTGGTCACGCTGGCTGCTGCGTTTGAGAATTGGCCCTGGCTGCTAAAGTTACATGAGAGTTCAAGCCTCTGAGTTGAAACCTGGAACCTAATCTCGACTCACGATTGCACGGTCTGGAGGAGGTCAACAACTCAGAGGAGCAACATTGTGAGAGCAAAACTTCAAAACCAAAGCAGATTCCTTAGCTTGGCACTAGATGTGAAGTTTGGGTCCTGTGGTTTTCTCATGGCTCTTTCTTTCTGCTCTGTTCTGTATTTCATCACTAGAGCAGCCGAGGAAAACTGTTCTGGTCTCTGTTTTGATGAGTAGCGAATTTTATCTGTGTACACTAATCCTTCCTGAATTGGTCATGCATGCATTTGGGTCACAATAGTATTGTAGTTTGGTTGATAGAGAATCACATCCAGATCATGTTTTTGACGAAAAGAGGTCCAAGAGTGTTTAACCCCCAAGCACTGTTAGTTAGGCTTGCAAATAACTAACAATTTGTTGAATATTTTTCAATAAAAAAAAGCCCATTAAAAATGCTCACAACCATTTCCCAGAGCCTAAGGTGATGTCTTCATGTAGCTTAACAGTCCAAACCCAAAACATATTCAAATAGCGAATCCTCACATTTGAGGAGCTGGAAATAAAGACTACACCGTTTCCGCATGGAAACTGTTTAGAGGAGGTAGTCAGTGTAGTCAGCGGGAAAATATTACAGTCGTTGATGATATCCTGTCCTGCCAGTCAGTACATACATTATAGGAGAACCAATTTTACACATCAAAGTCTGTTTACAGGTCTTGGGTAGGTTTTTCTGCACATGTGTATACAGTATAGCCTTCTGTGGCTTCACAGGGTGCTGCCCTAAATCTGACAAATTGCCTCAAGTGATGTCACCGATATCAGCATCGGTTGTGGCTACAGGTTAAAAATCTGGAGTTGTGGAGTTAGAAAGAAGTGAGCTCACTTTATCTCTGCTATAGGCTAGTGATTCAAGGATGTATTAGCCTCTACTAGCATAACATACCTGAATCTCTACCTAAGCCGTCAGAGTTGCATTATGGGTAATGTAAGCACCAGGTTTTCAGAGGAAGAATGCTATCTGGAATAAAAAAAGAAACAAAAAGATTATATAAATGAATATGTATATATTTATGTATATGTGTATATGTGTATCACAAATCAGTACCTGATTGTGATTGGTTAGTTTAACTTTTCCCAGCTGTTTTTCCAATATTGCAAATACAGTGTGTCAGTGAATCAGATTTTGATGCATCTCATCTTGTTATAATTGTAGTTACTAGATGTCAGTTTACACAACTGCCTCACTAATTAAATATGTGGCCTTTACTGCGTGATCTAGCACCACTGCAGAAACCCTTGAGTGTTTGCCGTGTGTAGAATTATTTCAGATTAATTGTTGTTTCAGAACTATTGTAGTTTTATGCCATTAACATGAAATTCCTCATGGAGTCTGTATAATGAAGTAAGCAATACATATTTCTTGATAAAATTATGTTAATTGATTGCAATAAGGAAGTAATTTATTTACATTGTAAAAAATTAAATGACTGATTAAATTAATATTGTAACTCTATGAAATGTTAATGAAAATATTTTTGGTTTGTTGTCAGATAAAAATAAGTAATTCGTCAATACTTGTGACATAGAGGTTAGTGCCTTGTTGTTTGGATCATGGCGAGGCCGGTGTGGCTGCAGGCTGTCTAGAATTAGCAGCCACTCTGTTGGTTGAGTTACAGCAGAGCAGGAATGCCTGCAGTGGTAGGCTAGCTAGGCTACATGAGAGCTTCTTTGGCAGGGAGCCATGTTGTGCTAGTGAGAAGGCCTGCATGCTTGGATATATTAGCAGGGGTTTTGTAACCATTGTAATGAAACGGCCGGGCTCCCGCGGCCCCTGAAAGGCCTTCCAGTACTGAATGATTTAGAGCCAAAAGGAGAGGAAGCACTGCAGAGCCTGGCCTCGGTCACTGAGTGAAGAAACTACAGGACAAGTATGCCATTCACCGGTTTATTTACACTCTCCTTGTTTGTCAGCACACCCTGGTCCTTTCTGTTTTTACATTTAGCACACACATTTGGCAGACATGATTGTACGGACACACACTCAAGTGAATACAAATGGTTTCACAGGGGTAATCAGGGACTGCAGATTATTGTCTCCCTCCAAAACTTATCAGAGTATGCTCAGTGTCTGTCTTTCTTTTTCATGCACATACACAAGCTCTCACATTGTTGTAGACCAGACACCTACTATTGTTTCATTGGAGGACATTTCATATTATCCAACGTTTAGAATAAGCCAAATTGTCACTCTAGCCAGAGGACCGTAGAAACAAATATCAGGCGTAATTGATAATGATCAGGTAGTCCCTCACACACACCCTCCTCCTACACCTGTCTGGTTCCAGCGTTGTGAAAAGCCCTTGTCATAAATTCCTGGGCTTTGTTAAGAGGTGTCAGTGGCCGGGTGCCTGAGGAGGGCTGCAGGGTCAAGAAGGGTATATGTGTGTTTATGCACGCATATTTACATGCACTCTCTCTTTGTATCACAGTAATATGGTGAGTGCATGTGCGTGTTAAAGTATTGGGGGTGGACACAGTTACTCAGCTCAGGTGTCACCCAGAGAAATGTGGACCTTTTACCCTTTGACCCTGGAACATTGCCCTGGAGGGTTGGGTGTCAAACCATCGCCCCTGAACCTCAACTAGTGAGGTGTGACGTTACTCTCCTGGCTGCTGCCACAAGGCCAAGCCTACAGAGGGCCTTAATGTGTGTGTGTGTGTGTGTGTGTGTGTGTGTGTGTGTGTGTGTGTGTGTGTGTGAAGTCATAGTCATTAACCACGCAATAGTCATTAACTTTGTCAGAGGCAGATCTGCCTTCCAGGGCTAGTGGACATTGCCCCAGTTCATGTTGGTTATCAAATAAATAGGACAGCAGCAGCACACTGACGGCCATTGCTTTGGTTCTCACACTTCACACGTGAGATGAGAGTGTTTGTATGAGATGGTGAAGTAAATGGGCAATGACTCATATGACTTAAAAAGCTCTTTTTTATTTTTACTAATATAACAGTAATGAAAGTGGAATGTGTTTCTATATCATGCATCTGTATTTTTATAAGCAGTAGTATATGAAATTATGATTGAAATCAGAATCATAATATCAGTAATAGTACCAACCAGAATGTGTCCATTCCATTACGTATTAAAATCCATAGTGGGTATAAAATACTAGGCAGTGTTTGCTGCTGTCCTCTCTTCCTCAGGCTCTTCATGTAGGCACATGGATGGGTTTTGCGTGGATGGGTTTTGTGTGAACCCTAAACTACCCTAGCATCTTAGGTCAACTTTTGATTTGAACATGATACAGTTGCACTGAAAGTTGCTTAATGATAATATTAACATTTGAATGTTTTCATATTAATAAATTATTACCAGTTTAAAGTAGAGAAAGGAGTGTAATTATGGTAAATGAACAATGGTTTCCTCTGTGGTTACTTACAGGTTCTTTAAAAGTGATGTCGTCTTATGTGAACCAAATGTTCTATTGAACACTATGAACAGCAGTTTAATCCATTACAGTTTTGTAGGAAATTGCATTCTACTTATGTGTGCATTTCATTCTCATTTTCACTGTAATGTAATACTCAGTATAATATGTAGAGATTATAGAATAACTGAAAAAATAGTAAACTGCGTTTCATGTTCAAAGAATTTCTCTCCTGAAAACCTTGTTTCAAACCTGACCAGGGCTCTCTGTATACCCGACCCCTCCCCAGATGTTGTTTGGTGAGTTTGCACCTCTAGTGCTCTCCACGCATGTTCTCCCTTCTCAGAGCGCCTCTGTGTCTATTATTGGCAGGGAGCCGTGACAGGACAGGCTACTCAGCCAGGGGGAAAAGGAGGCTAAACATGGTTTTGTGAGGAATGTGAGAGAACAGCCATGTTCATTTGTACATTCACCAGCCAGTTTGCCAGCCTTCCAGTCGACCATCCAGACCTCTGAGTGCCTGGACAAGGGGCGCCTTTGTCCCTCATCTGCCCTGCCCTGCTCCTGCCCCCCATCTTGCCCTTCTCTCCATCCTGTTGCACCTCCTCTGCCTCCCTCTTTTCACTCACGGGCCCTCTCCCCAGAATAGCACAGCAGGTCCCCTCTGAAAATAGAGCTGGTGATGTTGGCAGGGTCAAGCTCTCTCTCTTCTTTCAGCTTTGTATCTCTCTCTGTTTTTTTTATCTCTCTCTTACAGAATAGCTTTTGTTTCAGAGATTTATTCAGAGAAAATAATTAGCTGTTAAAAACAACAAAAGCTTTTATATTTGAAGAGGGAGTCCAAAATCAATAAAAGTTCATGTCATGAAGTCTTAGACTTCATCAGCCCTTAGACCTCACTTTAATTTCTAGGCCAGGTATAAAAGCACTACTCAAAAGGACTACAGAAGGTAATTTGTCCTGCTGAGTCATGTGGCCCTGACATAATCTCCCATGTATCCATGCAGCAAGGTATTCCCTCTAAAGTGTAAAAAATGCAGGTTAGCCACAGAGGAAATCGTATTAAAAGAGCACTTAATGTAGAAAATAGGTGTTTTCTGTTGAAACAGGCTCAAGCTTCCCATTGAGCAAAACACAGGATGCCCATAATTTGATAAATTCCATTTTAATTGCTCAAATCAGGGCTGGCTCTGTGCCAGAAAGATTATTTGAATGAGGAAAATGACTGAAAGGGTAGTATCTATGTCAGTGATGGAGATCTCACCACATGCTCAGGGCAGTAACAATGTAAGGTAAAGGTGCATTTGCACATTGTTATGTAAATTGTATATTGTTGTATATTGTGACAGCACATACAAATGGATGGAGGTTGCATGTAGAGCATGCAAAAGAAAATATCCAGCCATATCAACAGTGATCACCACGGAGACATACACGACAGTAATTGTTGATGGGCTCATAAAGCTGCACCAACTAATTTGGGGGAAATGAGATGTGAACACGATATTACAAATACATACAAACTTTTTAATTGTCAACAAACAGTCACCCACATCCAGCTGATAAGGACAAATATTCACTCTCCTTTTAGCTCTGTTTTTGTCTCCTTCAACTCCTGAGGGAAATATCTGGCTCTTTAGCTGCAACATGCTTAACTATGTTTACTGATTTACTAACTCTGTCTGTCTGCTGTTTGGTGCAGGAAAAAAGGTCTATAAACTCACTATTCCCCACAGTGGGCTTATAGAGCTTTTTTGCTGTATGCTGCTGGCAAAAATTACGCAGATAGTAGTGAAAATAAACAGTAAATTTGCGCAACACTAAGCTGAAAGACACTAAAAAGCTCTGTGGATCTGAGGGTACTGCAGATTCTCTGTGAGTTTGTCACTACCAGTGAAACATTTCACATTACGTCATTTGATTCATTGTTGATACAAAAGTATTGATTACAGCACCTTTATAAGATTATTAGCCTTGCCACAAAATAAAGCTCTTGTTGGTTAAGCGGCCTTTTGAAGAAACGACATGGATAAAACTTATAGCCACAGCTCAGTCCTGTAGACTAAACAATGGCTGTCACGCCTGCATAGACTCTAGACCTTGACATTTCATGTTGTAGACATCTAGTTAGGCGTGACCTGCCTACAAGGTCCAATCCAAATGGATATTTTTCAACTTGAATTATGAGTAACACTAACTCAGCCCTGAAGCAGTTGGTATCTCTAGACAGACATCTTCCTGCTGATACATCACGGTTTTTCCTGGAGCTAGAGACATTCCACTTAAATTTCCCTGGTGTTTGATTGATTGAATCCAACTTTAAGCGAAGGGTCCTCATGGAAACTCTTTGTGAACAATTGAATTTTAGATGTTAGCGCCATTTCAGCAACCTCTTTTATTTAAAACTGTTAATTATCTAAATCACTGTCTATGTTTGCATATATAGACTGTAACTGTAATGTATAGTGTTTAAGTGTTTATGAAGCGTTGCCTGCTGAATGTATCTGTCTGTGGATTACTGGGTTGCATGTAAACCTAATCACTTGATGATGTGCCATGAAGGTGTAGTACTTTTGTGAGAGACTGTAAATTATGGCTCATGCACGCCTTTGGTTTTATTCTTCGCTTTCCTGTCTGTCTTTACTGGACATCTGAACAGTTACGTGTAATCATGGGAGTGAGGTGGCTTGTCTAGTGAAACCAGTGATTACAATGACTTTAAGAACTTGTGACTGGTGGTACACATTTGTTCCTGAGAGGAATCCAAAAATTGCATTCTAAATATTTTTCTCGCCAAAGAATTTGGCAGTAAAAATGTTTAAACTTTTCTACAAAGTCCCAACCAAAGAAAAATCCAGATTTAAAATGTGTGATGCTCTCCTTATAATCAGTTTTTCTCTTGCCCTGTTATTTCCCCTGTAGATGGTCCAGACTTGCCCAATGCCGTTGGGTCCCCTCCCTCCAGCCCAAACCCAGCCAAGAAGAGCAGCTCCATCAACTGGTCCTTCCCAGACAAGATTAAGTCCCCGCGCACTGTGAGGAAGATCTCCATGAAGATGAAGAAGCTTCCGGAGCTTAGCCGGAAACTCAGCGTAAAGGGGACCCCGAGTGGCTGTAACAGTAACAACGGCAACGGAAGCGGTCAGTTAGAGCCCAGAGCCCTTTCTCCCCGAAACAACGGGAGTGGGTCTGAGGCCGTCCCCAATTCCTCAGGCCCTACCAGATTAGCTGCATCTGGGGGTGGGCAGGCAAGCCGTAACGTGATCTCACGCTACCACTTGGACAGCAGTGTGTCCACACAGCACAGCTTCAGCAAGAAGAAAAGTAACAATAGCTCGAAGTCCGCTAGTAAAGGCGGTTACCTCAGTGATGGTGACTCACCTGAGCTGGTGGCCAAATCTGGGAAGCACGGCTCTGCAGAGGGGAAGGGAGGGAAAGGCAAGGAGATGGAAGGAGGAGGTGGAAGCTCCAAACTTAATGGCACAGAGCTGGACATTGATGCTTTTCGCCATTACAGCTTCACAGAACAGCCCAAATGCAGCCAGTACATCTCCGGACTGATGAGCCTGCACTTTTATGGTGCTGAGGACCTCAAACCTCCACGCGTTGACTCGCGAGATGTCTATTGCGCCATCCAAGTTGACTCAGTTAATAAAGCACGAACCGCTCTCCTCACATGTCGAACTACCTTCCTAGATATGGACCACACCTTCAACATTGAGTTGGAGAACGCCCAGCACCTGAAGCTGGTGGTGTTCAGCTGGGAACCCACACCGAGACGCAACCGTGTCTGCTGCCATGGAACAGTGGTTTTGCCTGCACTCTTTCGGGTGACGCGTTGCCACCAGCTGGCAGTGAAGCTGGAGCCGAGGGGGCTGATCTACGTCAAGCTGACCCTGATGGAGCAGTGGCAGAACTCACTGGATGGTGGGCCGGATGGAGACCGGGAGCCCCAGGTGTTTGGTGTGGAGGCGTGGCGGGTAGTGGAGAGGGAGGGCACGGGACTGATGGTACCGCTACTTATAAGCAAGTGCATCAATGAGATTGAAAAGAGAGGCTGCCAGGTGAGTAAAGTCAACCAGGTGACACCGTGGCAAGCTATGTTTTTGAGGGTCATGATTAGTGCTGTAGCTTTTACTTCCCTCATGGATTCATCTGTCTGTCTTTTTTTTGATTCATCGATTCATTGTTGAGACCTTAAAATATGAGAAAGTAGTGTCAAATTATAGAGCCCAAGGTAACGTCTTCTGATTAACAGTCCAAAATCCAACCATATTTATTTTACAGTGATATAAAACAGAAAAACAACAAACCCTCTGCTGAAAATCAGCAAACAGGGAATGTTTAGAATTTTTGACTTGTGAAAGACTGATTTGTTATCAGATTTGTTGTTGATAATTTTTCTCTCAGTTGACTTAAAACTGATGAATTGACCAAATATTTTCAGCATTTAGAGTTAGGGTTAGGATTAGGATTAGGATTCTCTTTTAATTCAATTAGTTGTTTCATTAGTTAAACTATAGAGGATAGTTAAATTAATTAATTAAGTTATTTTCCCAAACTCAAAGTGATCTTCAAAACCCAAAGATATTACATTTACAATTAAATAAAACAGAAAAAAGAGAAAATCCACACATTTGCAACACTAGAACCAATTGGCATTTTTGCCTGAAAAATGGTGAAATGATTATAGGAATAGTTGCAGATTCATTTAATAGTCATTTCAGGTTTGAGGACACATGTATACACAGTACATTTTGATGGAAGCCAGTCAAATTCTATTCTGTCAATTGAAAAGAGATGGGGGTGCATTTTAAAAGAAGGCTGGTAGGATACAATAATGCATGTTTGTATGAGAGTGAGAGAATAGGAAGAGAAAATAGTCTCACACTCAAAGCATCCTTTTAGCTTAGTATGCCGTGAGACGAGTGCTTGCCCTGCAGCCAGTTCTAATACTGCATGACTGGCATGAGCAGAATGGATAAAAGAGATGTACCGCACTTTATGATGTCCCTAAGCCTTCCTGGGGCGAGTAGAAAGACTCAGAGTTAAGAGGCCGACGTGGTGGTGGTGACGATGGTGAAGTGGAGTGTTCCCCTGGATCATGTGATCATGTCTTGTTTTGTCCCCCTACCCCCACCCACATCTCATGAGCTCTTTGAAGCCCAGAGAGAGGCAGCGGAGTTTCTCCTAATTAGAGCTGAGACAGCGGCAGTAAAAGTGTCTGGCCACTGTTCCTGACTGATCACTCTAGGGGGGCATGCCAGGGGCAGCGGGTGCCTGTGGCCAATAGGCAAACATTAGGCCTCTCCATGGAGCCTGTCTGTCAAATCAAACCCCGCCCATGGCTACTTGTGCATCATGCTGGACTCCAAGAAGGAGTAGTAACAACAAACCTGACAATCATTTGTTTGATGTCATGATTTCTTTTTTTTTTGTTAGTAGATAATGAGCCTGTGTATCACAGGTGGTAGTGTGTAAGACTAAGGTACTAACTAGTGATTGTTTTCATCATCCATTAATATGTAAATTAATTATTTTGATTATTTATTTAGTCAATCGAACATTTTATATTAAGATGTAAGAAAATAGTGAAAATCTCTTTTTGTTTTGTCCAACCAAGAGTTTAATTTACTTACTACTTTTTATATATATATATATATATATATATATATATATATATATATTTTATATATTTTAAAAAATCTGTCGTTAGATTGTCAAAAAAAATGGATCACCCGGTAGCTCACTTAATAGAGCACCTACAATGTATTAGGGCTAAGGCCTCACTGCAGCGGCCCAGGTTCGAGTCCAGCCTGACCTGTCAGGCTCACCTGTCTTTCTCTTCTGTCACTATCAAATAAACCAGAAATACCCCAAAGATATGGTAAAACAAACATCATCTGACCTTTTTATATTGCCTGTTTTGTCCAAGCAAGGGTTCAAAACCCAAATATTACCTTTTCAATAATGTAAGTTGGAGAAATGAAGCAAATTCTCACTTTTGAGAAGCTGGAACCAGAGATATTTTGGCATCTTGCCATACTGTGATTCCTGTCTCTTTCTGTCTCTCCTTGTCTGCCTGTGTTTCTCCTTCTGTCTTTTCTGTTTTTGGCACTGTTTGTCTCCTGTCTTTCGCAGTGTTTCTTCTAACCACTTCCCCCCATCTGTATTGCTGCTGTCTTTCATTACAGAGATAGAGGGTACACTTTACACAGGGTATCAGTCTGAGATCGAGTGTAAGGGCTCCCTTCAGGTTGCAGGCAGACATAGGTAAGAATGGGGTTGACACCAGATCCCAGAGGAATTTGCAGGTTATGTCACTAAAGCACGCAAGGCCAGACGTGTAGTGGTGTGCCTTTACAAATGATTATGTGGATATGTGATGGAGACTATCTTTCAGAGTCTCTTAGAAATGAGTGTCCTAAGGGCTTCTCTAAGCTTTTAAGACTCTGGATGATTGTGGGTGCTTTGAAAAGGCTGCAGACAATGTCTGTGTTGGAGACTGGAGTTATGTATGTGAGCACTCGGTGCCCATCATAAAGAGGCATTTTTATAGTATCTCTGCCAGTAACATTACCATGTGACAACAAAAGATTTACACAGATTTTATTACATGTTATGAATGGCTACAAAGATGCACCATATTAGACAGAACTGACTTCTTAGCATTGTGTTGGAAAAGGTTTGACTTGACACAGATGTGACTTCCAGACTAAAGCCTTTTTCAGACAATTAATCAGTAACAATGCTGGCTTCAGTTAAAGTTCTGTCTGTTAAAGAAGTGGTTATTGGGCTTTCAAACATACATACGTCTCTGTAATGTAAATGTTCCATAATGGACATGACAGGTCTATTAGAAATAGAGCTACAGCAATATGCAGTACTGTATGTGGCACCTGGCACACAAAGGAGCCTAGTAGCGATACTGGAAAACAGCTGCAAGTTACAGATATATTTAAGAGTTTTCTCACAGGCTGCATCAGCAATATCTATTAACTATTAATCAATTATTTTGAGTTGACTTCTTAATGACCATAAGCTCAAAGGGCCACTTGGCTCTGCTTCTCAGCAGTAGATCTCTTACAGTGTTCATCTTTTGTTCAACAGAAGGATAAAAATTCGTAAAACAGTATTTTAGTTTCTTTGTGCATAAGAAAAGACAAATGTATTACTACGCTCCTTGAAAAGGCATACAGATGTGCGTATCTAATTTATCTCTGCGTTTTAACCTGTGGCTTTTCTGTTTATGCGCCGCTATTCAATTCAGTTATGGTAATCTCCATCATGATGAGATCGCCATTTTGACTTTTATGGAAACGTGACTTGGGCTTATTCAGACATGAGACGATGTATAAAATTGCCACCACATTTATACTAAAAGGGGCTTACAGTAATTACAGTTTTATTTTAGTTTAGAGCTGCAGCTACTTTTATAATCAATTAACCATTTATGTGATTTTTTAGAAAATAACCAGCAGATTTCATCGATAATTAAAATAATCATTAGGTGCAGCCCTACGTTTGTTCTTGGTTACAATTGTTGTGTTTGTGTCATCATGCACTTAGGTTTGCATACATGCATGTCTTCCATGCATGTCTTCCTCTGCTCTTCCGTTATATTTACGTACACATGTGGGGGATGGGTAAATCGTGCAGGAAAGGCATTCTGTCATTTTGTCATGAAGGTGAGATCATTATTTCCCTGCTGGTGTCTATTAGAAAGGTGGGTCATGTTTAGAGGAAGTAGACAGCTTGGTGGGCTGACTTTGGTCCAACACTCAAGAGCATTAGTGCGGTTAAATGCATTTTCTTTCTTTCCTTTCGTCTCCTTTCATGTTTCTATAAAGTCTTTAAGCTGATCCCAGACCAAAAAAGAAAAAAAACTGATCCCATCACTGGTTTTAAAGTCACTGACCATCAGCATTCCTGTCGAGGAAACTCGTTTGGTTTCGTGGTCATTGTGTCTGCCTTATTCTGCATATAGGTCTTGGCTGGTGCTGCCTGTTGTGTTGCCCGGCAGCCAAAGTGCAAGCCCTCTTTTTTGCTAACAGCTGTTCCCGGCTTGTGCTCAGCTCTCCCCCAAAGAGAGACTCTTTTTTTTTCTGAATGGACTTGTTGTTCATTGTGCCCAGTGACTTCTGTTTACTCTCGCACAAAGGCAAATCCCTGCCTAATCTGTCGTCCTCTCTCCCTCTCGTGTGAGGTTTAGAAAACACTGCTAAAGAAGAACTCACAAATAGTTGGTCTGGTGGGGAGACATTATAGTGCTCCTACGCTGGAGCCCGGAAAGGCCAGCAGTGTGTGTGTACTAATGTGTGTATTTGTGTGACACCGGACCCGACCCGCCATTCACAGCCCACTGACTTAACACGTTACCAGGACAACCACACCAGTGGGTCTGCTATGCCACATACCAGACAGACACATGTAGGAGAAATTATGGTATGTCTGTAGCCAAGCCTAATCCCAACATAACAAGGAGACCATTGGTGCCAAGTTTCAACTATCAAATGTCAACATCTTGAGGAAATTGTTAAGAGTTCTTTAGGTCACACTCTGGAGGATTAGGTAAAGAAACATTGATGGTTTATTGCATAGTGCTTCCATTTTCTTTAATGCTGAGCTGTCAGCTGGGATTTTATGATAGCTCTATGTTTATCCATTCAGTCATAAGGATGTGACACTTTTATCACACCTCTGAGTGTAGTTTGGCAAAACACAGAGCACATTTTCCTTTGTTCACATTCAGATAAGCCAAGTGATGACTATGCTCACAGATGTATTGAAAATGATGCCACATTCTACTTTTTCAGAAATTTAAAATTCACAGCGGTGTTTTATAGCCACGTTTTGTAAGAAGAAACCATTTATAAGCAATAAAGCACACTGTTGATGATTTCAATCTACTCGGGAATTTTACCGCTACTGCCTTACTTGACTTATCATTTGCAAACTTTAGATATAGATAGATTAGACATTGCTGTGTAACCTACTATTATTGAGATAATTGAGTCAGTTTGCCACTCTTTTTAATACGGTTAGCATTGTTTTTTTAGCACAACTAACAAATCTTAGTCTTGCTTTTAATACTCTTCTTACAAATCAAAAAGTCTGTCTCTAGCTGGTGGTCACCCATGTCAAGTTGAGTTTTATTTGTTTGTGTCAGGGCTTTACAATCTTCTATACTCACTTCGGATAGGAAAACTTGGAAAAATAAAGTGAGAATCCTCATGAAGAGCAACAGTGGATGTACATTCAACAGAGTAGACAGAAGTAGCAGTAGCAAAATTGCAATATCGATTACAATGGTAAGTATATAAAGAGTACAATATAAGTTATGTATAGTAAATAAGTAATAGTAACAGTAATAAGTCAGTCCATTCATTGGCATTTGACAGTTACTGTTAGAAAAACTGTGACCTGGGATTTTAGTGTGACACCCTCTGCACTGGAGTATTTTGGTCCGTATTGATTGTGTTGTTCTGTAAATATCAAAGCAGCTTGTAGCAGCCTGGTGCCATTCCACACTTGGCCTCTTGATAACATTATATATACAATATATAAAATGTACTCAGTTGTTCAAATAAGCTGCCATTTTGTAAAGATGAAACAGGCTAGAATCTTTAGACACATGTTTTTTTCTGTGAAAGTAGTTTTGACTTCTGTCCAGCATATTGTTTAAGTGCAGAGGTAGAACTTGATTGTTAGGGTTGTAAAAATGTCTGCCTCTCCGTCAAATGTTTTGTTTACTTGACCTACTTGTGTGTCTGTGTGTTTCCAGGTTGTGGGTCTCTACCGCCTGTGTGGATCTGCAGCCGTCAAGAAGGAGCTACGTGAGGCGTTTGAGAGAGACAGCTACGCCGTGGAGCTGTGTGAAAACACGTATCCTGACGTTAACGTCATCACAGGTAAACTGATCGCTGGTAAAAGAGAACATAAGATGCTAACAAAGCACAGGGTCACCGCACATACTCACTATAATTAGGAAGTTGTTATTTAACTAGATGGCTTTACTAAAGAGCGTTGGTGTCGCTCTGGTCTCAGGATACTCGGTTTGCCTGCAAAGTACCCTCTTCCCCGTACTACATTAGGATATTAAATGATTATTTTCTAATTGAATTGTTTCGTCCATAAAATTTCAAAAACTAGTGACATGCAAACCTCAAAAAGACAAAGCAAAGCAGCAAATCCTTACATTTGAGAAGCCGGAAACAGTCGATTTGTTGGCATTTTTGCTTAAAAAAATTAATTAAAAGATAAATCAATTACTTATTTTTTCATTGTAGCTCTGGTTATAGATTTGACCTGTCAAAGTCAGTTCTGTCATAAAGCAGAAGCAGTTTTGTGGAAAGAGAGGCACCCATGTATGAGTTATGTGTTATAAAAATATACATTATATTGAATTAGATCAATAATTTTTAAATCTCAATGTCATCCATCTCTGAGAAGATTGTTTTTACTTTTATTTATTATGGTAGTAATGAAACTTTATTTATACAGACTCTTTTAGGCAAAAGTTAGAAGAAGAAGAAAAATAAGTTAAGCACATCTACATGAAAAATAAAACAAACAGGACGTTAACTCAAATGGAATCTGGATTTAGTATTGATCCAGTCCCTGTCCCAGTAAACGTGTCTGAACTGGTGTGTCCGCTGCAGATGGGTCAGCACATGAGTGTGTGAGGCTGTTCATAGTAAAAGCATTCCAGCAGTCAACTAACAGTATAGGATGGTGCCTGAGGGAAGGGCCCCTACACACACACACAAATCACAAACCATGCTGTACATTCAGGTCATTCTTTCTCCTTCAGGTTTGTGGTTGAGACATGCTCTGTACTGTCCCTTCTAGTTCACGTTTTAGTCAAGTCAGAAGGCTTTCTTTTTTTCAAATATAAAGACCCCTGACTATAATGTAAGTGCTGAAGTTGTTTTGTTGTCCCACAGACAGGGCTGCAAATTTTATGTCCTATTATTTAAAGCTAATAATTTAAATGCCACTCCGATAACTGTGAGTTGTCACTTTTTTCCGCTCGGTTGCTGTGAAATTAAAAATGGAAACAGTGAGTAACAGTGCATCTCACCGTCTCCAGCTTACCAAAACAGCCTTGTCATTGGATTGAGTAATGGTTCCAGCAGTGCGACAAATGAGGGGGGATGCAAAGATGTAGAAAATGACTTTGTCATGATTTTTGTTTCTCCCACAAAAAGAGGAAGACCATGGAAACCTCTGGGCATTGTAGGGGTTGCTGTTGGTTTTGGGAAGAGGCCCCGCATAGGCGTCGTCCTATCATGCCTGCTTTGATCCACATGCATTTGCATGGCAGGGCAAAGAACACAGTTAACAGTTGAGCGAGTTAGAGAAAAAAAGGGCCTGCACCAGAGTGGATTGTTGGTTTTTGCTCGCTGCCTAAATTTGCTCCACCATGCGAGTTGCTGTTGCAGATGGGCCTGAGTGAGTGGAAGTGGACAGGGAGAGGGGGAGGGGGAAGGAAGGCAGATAAGGGGTGTGTGCTGCAAAAATGTCCATCTGTGATACAATCATGGGTTTAGTCTTAAAACATACTTTCCTGAAACATTTGGAAAAAATCTTACTTTTCCTTGTTCGTATTTGCATTTTAATCTCCTCATGTTTCAAGAAAAACCTTTGAATTTGAAATTAAAATGGAAGTGAGATGTCCCCTAATGTTGCATCATCTACTTCTTTTGAATGTAAAGGCTGAGTATTGAATTAAAATGGTGGAGTCAGACTGGAAGCTAATGAATGAACAGCAAACGGATGAAGTAAGTGAGCTGACGTATCACATGGCTAATTTAAAATCAGAGGTAGTGAAAAGGATTATCCAGGGATCAGAGTTCAATCCAAAGCTTGCAAAACATGCTCAGTACGGGGCCCTCACAATTCACTCAAAAGAACCAGAAAGGTTTTATCAACATAAGCAACATGCTGTCAATCTTCAACAGTTTGTGTTTAGTAGTTAGTCTTTCTGATCTGTAATTAATTTACATTTATTCATTTAGCTGATGCTTTTATCCAAAGCGACTTACAATTACTATATATATCAGAGGTTGCATGCCCCGGAGCAACTAGGGGTTAAGTGTCTTGCTCAGGGACACATTGGTGTTTCACACATAATCTGTTTATTACACTTTCTATGAACACGTATGACACTTTCAAAATAGTCTGATGTATATTGGGTGTTGTGGAATTGGACCAGAGGGTTTCATGGCCTCCATCGACTCCTGGCAATCAACCAAGAACTCACCAGGGTCAGGGATCAATTTGTTTTTCATTTTACTTTGTTTGTAAATAAGTGTTGAAAGTGCTATTATTCTCAACTACTTTAATCTGCACACTACATGTACCAAATATTTGTGACCTTAGTGTCCCTTATTCATTTGTTAAGAGACGCAAATTAGAGCAGGGGATTTTAAGCTTTCAGACACTTTGGATATGGACTGCAAAAGAGACTACATCTCAGTTGTGCCTCTAATGTTTAATAAATTCAATGTAGATTAAGTACAAGAATTAAAAAGGATCATCCAGAAAATAACCCCTTGTAAACTTGTTTTTTTGTACAGATTGAACTAACAAGATATAACGTGTTAATTAGTGAGCTTTAGAGATGCTGGTAGGCAGATGTTACATTTTGAAGGAGCTTGGCTAGCTGGTTCCCTCTCTTTATGCTAAGCTAAGTAGAAGTTTCTTTAGAGCATTTAGACATGAGCTGTGCAAAAGAGACTAGTAATCAATATCAGAAAGATTTCCGAACTATTTAGTCCATTCAGTGTAGAATAAATGCAAGAATCTAAACATAGATTTAATTTAACTACTTCAAAACATCTACTTGATTAGTGGCATTGTTGAATTGAGGTTTAATTCAGTCCCAGTTGTGGCATTTAATAATGGTTCTCAGTAGCCCCTTGTCTTGTCATAAAGTTTTAACAGAACAAACAAATAAAACAAACTCAAAATATCAGATGATGTTTTTCGCTTCACAGTTCCTTACCAGGTCGTGTGGTAATGGATGCAAGTCAGTAAGAAGCAAGTCTTACAGAGCTATTTGGCAGCTTTGATTGTGACATCAGCAGTTACTTCAGTCACATCAGCGCCAAAGGAGCACTCAACATCAGCAGTATAACCTGTGTTTTTTAAAACATAAGCTTTACGTCACAATTTATTTACAGAGTGTTCCTGGTTGGATAAAACCAATGCAGAATGAATCACTGTGAAAAATTTGGGTTTTAGAGGACACATTAGCGATCTTCACTAATAATTAAGCCTTTGGCTCAACCTGTTTTGGCCTTTGTGTGTAAACAAAGATCCTAAAGTGATCCAGTGATGGGAAACTGGTTCAGATATCTGTCCTCAGAAAATGAAACCAGTGTGTCCCAAGCTCTGCTGGCTGAAAGCTTAGCACAGTTATTGATTCTAGTTTGTGGTCTTTAATTCGTCTTGCCTGACTTTTCCATTGCCTACTTCCCAACTTTACCCCCCCACCCCTGGTAGTACTCCAGTGAAGACATGGAAAGTCATTAACAAGTGCCCCCTTTGTTGCCGAACAAACACAGATGGTATTTGGCTCACGCATGGGGGATTAACTGAACCCTGGGCTGGCCATGGAAGCAGGCAAGCACTTTACAAAGAGCTACAGGCCTGTGTGGGTGTCAGAATATTTCTTGAACTGAGGGTCGGGAATCAAAAACAGGTCGCAGGCGTATTTCTGATGAATCTATATTTGCCATGAGAGCACCACTGTTTACAGAGTTAGGAATGGGGTCTGCTCACTTTGGGTTACAGGGGGCTACGTAAAAGTTGAAGAAACCACAGCAGAAGGCTTTACCATGCCACCGGACAAGATTGCAACATACACATCTCCTCTGGCCCCCCCTAGTGCTGTGGGGGCGTGCAGGACGGCAGGGAGGCGCAGGACGGAGAACAAACCCCCATTTGTTCTCCAGTCGAAGCGTTGACTACAGCACTGACAAGAGGAGTGACCTTCCGCTTTGTTTGAACAAGAGGTCAAAAGGTAGAGCCATGTCCCAGTGCATTGTGTGCCTTGTAGTGTTTGGTGGCACATTTGAAACATTGAGTCTGAATTGATTAGAAAGAAACATTTACATGAAAATACGATCATCTGCAGCTTTAATTACATGTTTTGAAGCATTGTTTCAGGAGCTTGTTTTTCTTTATTGTTAAGCTGCTTTTGATTGCTGGACTTGTTCTACTGTTTGGACTTAATCAGCCTTACATGTTGGTGGACATAAATGTATGTGTAGTTTGTATCTCTGTTGCCAAAGCCAAAGCCCACCAGCTTAAATGTGAGAGAACAGACACTCAGCGTGTGCTTGTTGTCAGCTTGTCTGTGAAGGAAAGTGAAGCACCTGCAGGGGAAGCACACCTGTTCACCCCTGAGCCCATGACCTTGTGTGTGTGTGTGTGTGTGTGTGTGTGTGTGTGTGTGTGTGTGTGTGTGTGTGAGAATCAGGCACCAACAGGGGCTAAGACACAAAAGTAAACACTTGCACTGACTCATAGCAAGCTAATGATTTACCTGAATGGCTGTATTCTCCTCACTTCAGACAAACACAAGCACATGTGCCCATGCACGTACACACGGTTTGACTGACTAGTGTATTTTTAAAATGATTAAAAAGGATAAGAGCCTAAATATGTATGCTAAAGTCATTGCATGTGAGACATAAAGAGGATGGTTTATTTCATGAAGCATTGCTAACATACTACATCTATCATCTATATACAACCCTGCTGTTGTTGTATATAGATGATCTGCCTCACAGCACAGGGAAGGTCAGAAGGTTTGCCATGCTTGAGTTTCCATTTTGAGGGGGAAAAACAGGTCAAATGATACCTATCTGCATTTTATTTGCACACTTGCTTAACAAAAAAACACTTTGCTGAGATAAGGATAAAAACACATGGCTCACTTTGACTTCCAGGCAGTCTGCTTTCCTGCGATGAAACTAGTAGATTATTATTATCTCAGTAAAGTCTCAGTTAAGATTCACAACGGGAAGCTGGGGGATGTCCACAAAGCATTTCTGTGTAATCTGTTTTGGAAACCAGAATGTCTAGAGGAGCATTAAGAAGAGTGAATGTATCTTGTGTTTTTGTGTCCTTATCGCGTTCGACTCATACCAGATTTCATGCCAAAACTGATGAAGATAAATTCTAAAAGAAGCATTCAAGAATGTGAATCAGAAGTGAAAACAAACATGCCGCCACAGATCAGCTACGCTGTCTCACAGGGCACAGGGGACATGTTTAATTACAGGGGCATTTTATGAAGTTGAAGTGCCTGTTTGCCTGAAGCCATGTTAAAGTCTGACCCTGCTGACTTAGAGCTGTCATTGTGTGGGTCTACCTGCGATGGGAGCGCTGACATTGTACGCCAGTGAGCTTGTTTGGGTATGAGATGTTTTTCTTCAGAGCCACCACACACTGCCTCAGGAATGCACAACATCTCTCTCTGCGTCTGTGTTAGTGTGTGTGTATGTGTGTGTGTGTGTTTCTCTGCTGGTGTCAGGACCTGTTGAATCTTGAGTACAGAGAATAGAGTTGTCGAGGCGCTTCCAAAGCAAGATAACAGTTGTAATTTTTTCTGTTGAGATGGTAGCTGGCACAAATGGTGCATTATTTTTTATTTACGTTTTATTCAAGTATTTATTTTTCTTGTAGAGACAGCTTCACAGCATGGAATAATCTACAAATAGCTGAATTCAAAATACATGTGCAACAATTGAAAACACATTCAATACATAAAACGATTTGCAAAGAAAACACCATAAAAGTAGCAGTGGGTCCAAATTTCATGGCAATTCATCCAACCTGTGACTGAGTGCATAACTGATCACTCTTCCAAAACTGTTTCAATTCACATGAAATGATGCCAGTTATGATCTATTTTGAGTTATATAGAAACATACAAAGGTAAACAGGAAGTAGTGGGAAACACCATTTGACACCTGTAAAGAGTGATGACAGCATTTCACACATTTTTACCAGTTGAATTCTTTGTGAAATGTTTTGCGGGATTGTGATGAGGGATTTCATCAGTAAATCTAAAACTAACAGTAGTTCATTCTACCGAGTTTTTATTTGGGCTGACTGCTCCTGTGCAGACACTGAACCTCATGCTAATCTGAGACTTTATAGTGTGTCAATGAACTGAATTTAGATCCTTCTTTCACTCTCTAATCCTTTTTTCAAAAGATCTTGTGCCGATGTAGCAGTTGGAAAGGAAAACTGGACTTCCATGTGTCATCACCTAAAAACACAGATATTTAAGGTTCATTTTAAAACATTTGTCTGTCCACTTTATTATCCAGAGATTAATGGAGTGATGGACAGAGAATGCCAGTTAGGAATAGACTGAAAATCTTTAAGCCTTCAGGCTCCCTTAAAGAGCAGAGCTGGGACTTACCAGGATTAAAAAGTGAGCGTGTTAAGTTGTGCCCTTCGTTCTATTTACTGGGCCTGAAGGATGTCAGTGGATTTAGAGTGAATGTATTGTAAAGTTTGCTGTAAATAGAAGGCAAGAGGAAAAACTCCTCGGGTGTATGGGAGATAATCCAGCGATGTAGAAGTGATAAAGTAGGAGTTCCTATTTACAGCATCCTGGTTGGAATCAGTTACAAAAGTTCAAGGGATTGTGCCACTACCTTGGGGAATTTTTATAGTGTTGTTGTGTTTGCTATAATCAGTGTATGTGTTCATAGAGAGTACTACAACAAAGTGATTTTATTTGTCATGTTACATTTTTCTGACATTTACTGCCGTGTGGCCAGTCCTAGTCTATGCCCAGCTATTCGCCTGATGGCTGACAAGGCATGTCAGCTACGTAGCAGATAACTATTGTTATCTGTGTTGAAATAACAAATTATCTTATAAATGTTATGTTGCATTGATAAGCAGGAGATCAGTTGAGAGTAAACTGTCAAGCATATAAAAAATACACATAGCTGTTTTTAGAAGTAACTGATCTTAGCTGAATGTGAAAGGTGTGGTTGGTTCAATGCAGATGTATTGATATATGTTGAGTAAATATAGTATCTGATTGCAGCAGCACAACACAAGTGACCTGCTTGAACTGGTTCACAGGTCCATTTGCAACTCATTTTTTGTTGTAAATTGGCTGACATCAGGTCTGTCAAACCGATTTTACACATCAAAGTCTGTTCACATGTCTTCGGGAGAATTAAGTAGCATGTAGTAGTTCAGGCAGGGACCGAATTCATTTAGAGTCACATGTTTCATTTACTCTCCATTTGGCGCTCATTCAGTCTGCGTACAGCTACGCTGAATTCTGCATCCATGCTGCTACACTGTTGCCTGCTTTCAGAAATTGAACTCCCTCCACCTCCACAGCCTCTTGCTGTATAAGCATTTAATCGTACATGAATATTTAATGTTTAACCATGTGTTCATGTTCATTAAATGTGTACCTCAGGATTTGCCAAGGGAATTTGTGAGCTAGGGGACAGTTTGTGTGCTCAGCTTGCTCTGATTTGTTCTGGGACATCACGTGAGCACACTGGTGAACTAAAATGCATATTGCTACAACAGATGGTTAAAACCTTGATATGAGTGTCATATGTGAGAGTCACATCAACTCACATCAAGCCTTTTGTGGCTCCATAGGGGGCTGCGTGATGTCTGATAAGCTGCCTCAAGTGATGTCACTTGAGTCACTGTCTGTTGAGGCTGAAGACTACTAGTAAGCACACCTGACCCTCTGACTTAAGTGTCTGCGGTTGCATTGTGGGTAATGTAAGCACCAGATTTTGAGAAGAAGAATGCGTGGAATAAAAGAAGACAATATCTTTTGTCCTGCTTTATCGATTTTGATCCATTTCTTTGTCTGTGTCTATTGTGAGTCTGACAGTGTTATAGGAGTGCAATGCTAAATCTGTCAAGTGTGTGTGTTTTGCATTTCTTAATGGTTTGACAAACAGTATACTTAATTTGCTGATCATTGTAGTGACATTAACCCTTAAGTCAAATAAAATGTTATACTTGTTACTCTTCAAAGACATTCAGTGTGTATTAGTTTGGAGCATAACCAATATTGCTGATCACACAACCCCCAGCTGTCTCTGTAAACTGATCCAGCTTCATGCATAGGGAAAAGAAAGCAGACACTCACCACAAAGAGCTGTCACCCTGCCAAGAGCCTTTCTTATTCCTGTATTTGTTCTTTTTTTCACCCTTTGCCTTTGATGAAAAGACATGCCAGCAATATTTCAGGGGCTTAGTGGAGACAGACAGTGTGGGTTTCATGTTTTTCTCGTAGCTTTTTCGCCTGAACTTCGTCAGGCTGAAGTCACAGGTGTGAACGCGCCGTCACAGACACCAGGCCCCCCCCCCAATACTTTTGGCTTCCAAATCACGCCCGAATCCAATCAGGCATCTCAGCAGACACTACAGGTTCACCCGAGGAAACAATGGGACCTCAATTTGAAGCCAAGAGAGTGCATCAAGTTCAGTGTTTTAAAAGAGATGGGAAATAAAAGCTTTTTCAACGACAAGGCTTGATGAAGATATATCATCAGTGCTTGTGTCAATAAAAATAAATATTTCCTCAGTTCAAGTGTGGGAACACTGAATGACCCTCCACAACAAAACTCGTTTACTGGGATATTTACTGGCCAATTTAACATCCAGTCCATCTGCAGCAGTTTATCTCATGCTCTATTCTCTTTTTCTCCCATTTTTCAGGAGTACTGAAGGACTACCTGCGAGAGCTGCCCTACCCTCTGATCACTAAGAACCTGTATGAGGCAGTGTTGGAGACTATGGTCACGAGGCCTCTGCGAATGGGAGCAGCGGGCTGCGAGAATGAACAGGCTGACTCGGAGTACACTGTCAGCCTACTGGACAACCTGCCAGAGGTGGAGAGGGTGAGGAGGAAGACACACTGTAAATACCCTGCTCCCCTAGAGATCACTGCTGTTTAACTATTACATAGACTTTTACATCATCATACATTTACAGGTGATATTAGTGGTTTTCTGTACACCTTCAGATAAATGAGAAAAGAACTCAAGATGGAAACTCAAGTCTGTGATTATTTGGGGCAGATACCAATATCAGTATTTTAGAATTTAACAATCCAGTAATGAAATACGGGCCAAGATTCTATTTTTTCATAACACACAACAATAGCAATAGCATTTTGAAGTATTCCATTGTGACCCACAGTATGTACTCTAATGTATGAACATTTTACAGTTGAAATGTAAACATGTCAGTTCTCTCTGAGGAGAAACTATGTAATAGTGACATTACTTACTTTAGCCTCAAGACATGTTTAATCTGTGATGCTATAGATGACTACTATAGGTGTTCTATGACTAAGGTTTACTGCTCCTATTTTGCCAAGAAAGCATCTTTAAGTCACACAGAATCTTTCTTCAATTCTTACAAGAAATACTATTTACTGCTACAAATAGCTTGATGACGTACATTTACAGTGTAGCTCTGCTGCTGCTGCCAGTGGTACTCCCGCAGCTACTAATCATAATAATAACATGTGTTATTTGTCTGTGTGTGTGTGTGTGTGTGTGTGTGTGTACATCAGATGACACTGCGGCGGCTTCTTGACCACCTTAAGTTGGTAGCGTCCTACCAGGAAGTGAACAAGATGACGTGTCAGAACCTGGCAGTATGTTTCGGCCCGGTGCTGCTCAGCCAGCGTCAGGATGCGTCCTGCCACACGAACCGAGTCTTTATTGACTCAGAGGAGTTGGCTAGCGCACTGCACTTCAAAAAACACATCGAAGTCCTGCACTACCTGCTGCAGCTCTGGCCAGGTGAGTCATCTTTTTTGTCTAGTCAAAATTAGTGAATAAATTCTGTTATTTTGTTGTGTTAAACACAGTTCTACCAGGTATTTTGGTTTGAAAAATATTCTTTCTGCTTGAGGGTCTTGTACAAATCAGTACCAGCTCTGCGGTTCCGCTCTATAAAGGGCTGTTAAAGGGCTGGGCTTCTTTGATCCTTGAGATTATCCACAACTGGCACAAGTACAGCTCTGATGCCATTTGCCACCATCTGTTGGCTCCTCAGAGATGAAACTCTCCACAGAGTGCTCCATCATGGCAGAGTGAGCCAATCAGAGCCAAGCCAGTAAGCCCCAATGCAAACCAAACTTTCGAGGCGTGGCCCCATGTCTTAAGATAAATCACCAACCAAGGACAGATACCAGACAGATACCCAGTACCCACTTCCCTCAACACAGGTCATCTGTCTGCCGGCACAGCTGTTCTCTGCTAGCTGCAGCTGTCTGCTCAGTGTGAGATATGAAGGAACCCAAAGATTATTCAGGAAGGAGTCGAGAATGATGAAAAAGAGCTGCAGGCAGGGTAAAATGTGTATTCGTCACAGAAACCAATTTGATATTTTTTAACCTTTAAAATTTTGTGTTCATGGTGTCTTCAATTAAAAGAAGAATAAAAATAACTATTCAGTGGCTTCTGTAATTCAGTTAGTCTCAGCTACTTTAGAAAATGAAGCAAAACATTGCTAAATGGACCAGTGTGCATTCCTGTAGTAGTTTTCCTCTGTAGGTTATTAATATTATTTTTTAATTCATTATTAATTCATTATTATCATCAAAGACTGTTTGAAAATCCATTATACAATTTAAATTTGCACGGCCGTCCTTCCAAAACAGAGCCTGCTTACGTATCTTAATTGAAAGAAAGTTGTTTTTCGAGTGCAATGATGAGTTTGTCTCGGGGCAAACTTTTTTAAAAGTTTATACGCATGCAGTATTTCAAAAGGTCTTTTTGAAGTGTTGATAACATCCCGTTGGACCAACTTTACCCCTGAAAGATTCAAATCCATAGGGCTCTTCCCTGTAACCTGCAGCTTTCACCAGATCTGCTGACGGATGTCTGAAGAAGAACTGACTCTGTGTCTGGTCTGGCCTCTAAATACATCCTCAGACTCCCACATTGAACCAATTCTGTGTAAACCGCTGAAGTTGAGCACCCTCCACCCTCCTTTTCATCAACTGGGGAAGAAACACTCAGAGGAAAACTAAGTGCAGCAACTGAATAAGTCAGCATTTGTGAATCCTATAATTGCAGGTAGCCTGGTGAAGTACAAGTGGAATTTCAAAAGATAAACAAAAAAGTGCTAAGATATTTTCGGTTAGAAGATAGCGTATACATGCAGACAATGACAGAGGGCGTTAGGGTCAAGTGGTCTGAAGAAAATAGTTTTTAATCTTCTGTAGAAGCCTGCACATGTTCTGCACTCCTGTCTGCAACTGATGTCACCAGGATGGTGCTTATAATTACCTATAAAACCTTGACAAAGGTTACAGTCCAGGTTCAAGCCTTTGTTTACACCCTCAGTGACATCTCCATTCTGCCCGCTTCCCCAGCTCAGAGCGGAGGATGCCTGGACTGTAATTAAAGACATTCCAGGCTTAACCTTAGCCCTCAGCCCCTGAAGCCTTACCCTAACATTTCACAATCATTATGGGGTATTTTCAGCCGCCTCTTCACACCTCTCAGACACATACTCAACCCTCCAAGGCATTGTTGCTCAGGCCTCAGTTGTGCATGTCTGTGGGCAAGTGCAAGGACATCAGACAATATTTACAGGACGTGTGAGAGAGTATGAGCATATGCGTGTTGAAGAGGTTGCCAACTATAAGTGTGAGCAGATGGTTAGACAGACAGAATGACAGGAAGAAGAGGAGAATGTATGTGTTTGTGATGCGTGGGTGTGCATTTGAGTGTATCTTGTTATTGTGCTTGTGTGCAGGGATAACACTTTCAAATTTACCAGCTATACTTTTTTCAACGCACTTTAAGAAAAGCCCAAATGATCATATAATTTACATTTTGCCCATTGTAACACAATTTGCGGTATTTTTGTCTGCTTTAGGATTTTTTCCTCTGCTGCAAGCTAATATTTTTAATCATGTCATCAGTGAATAATGTCTGAAATTAAATGACATGTTGCCTCTTAATGGAGGGTAATTTCTGTTTGTTTTAGGTGATAAATGCTTTAGCCGCAGGTCAGGAGAGTTGCAAGGCGTGCAAGTGCTGCACATAAATACTGTATCAGCAACTGCCACTTCAGATGAATGAGTTTTTATTCATCAACATTTTTGTTTTAAGGCCCCTTAAGGATAATAGATTTCAAGGTCCTCTTTCATACCCCATGGACAAAATAAATAGTTTTATGTTGTACCTCTTGTACATGGCTTACAGTCCAGACTTTAACACTTTTTGTTTCTTTCCAATCCAGTAAGCTAGCGGCGTCAACAAGTGTAGGTACACAGAGATAAAGACAGACAGGTAACCGGACTGTGCTGGTTGTGTTGGAGTGCTCACTGTTACTTTTTTCAAGGCACAGTCAGATGAATCATCCATGTCCAAAGAGGGTTTCAGTTTAGTTAATTTTTAAGTTTGGTTTAGTCAACAAATAGTACAGATGGATGGCATCAGAGTCACAGAGTGCGGTGGTGTGACTTCAGCATGTGTTTGCCTGACTTTGAGCACAGCATGGCATGGTCATATTTGGATTATTTTGGCAGGGCGCTTGTCAAATAACAGGGCTCCCACAGTTTATATCAGATATCTTTGTTGCTGTGAGGTTCACTCAGACAAATCTGTTGTCTTTTGTAAATAGTAGGAATCAGTTGTGTTACAAAATTAATAATAATAATTTGTGTTGTTTTCAAGGCATGTTTTTTTAATGTCAGTTTGTAAATGTCAGTTTTTACCAAAAGGGGTTCAGATTGCACAAATTACAAAAACTAATATTTTGTGTGATTTTTGTGCCTATTATTTGAAATTTATCTAATTTTTGTGGCACAAAAATTACATAAAAAAATGTAATAGCAGCAATATTATCCATAGACAATATCCAGGATGATCCACAAACCTCACTGATACTAGTTTTCACTGGAACTACCAAACTACCAAAGAAATTGTCCCTATGAAAATTGGGGATTGTGGCAAAAAACTTCAAGAAATCTCAACTCTATCACAAAGCTAGATACCACTAGGGGTATAAGAGAAATGTGTTATTTTATCTTTTGTAATGAACTAACCCTTCAAACAAATATTTCAACATTTTGGGATAATATTTATATTATTTTTTCCAAAAGTAAAAACTACCCAACAGCTCCTCCCCCTAGTTTCCCGTCTTTATGCTATGCTAAGCTAACCAGCTGCTGGCTGTAGCTACATATTTACTATACAGACTCGTATAACTCATGGCAAGAAAGCAAATCGTTATTCCCAAAATGTAGAACTTTTCCTTTGAAGATATTAATCAAAATGGACTGTATATGTGACTAACTCTGCCTTTCTTTTGTCTCTCTTCCTGTCTGCTCCTCCAGTTGTGGACCCATATGGCCAGTCCTCTTCCCAGCCCCCTGCAGCTTCTTTGGCTCCGGCCTCATCTGACCTGCTGTCAGTTCCTCCATTACGGCGAAGAAAAGAGCGGCCCCAGGTCCTGAACCTTACTGAAGCGGAAATGGCGGGTGTTCTGCGGCCCAAACCGGGGCGCCTGGACAGTCCCAGCAACCGCTACGCCGGTGACTGGAGCGGCTGTGGCGAGAGCTACTTCCCTTGCGAAATTCTGCTGCCTCCCAGCAAAGAGGAGGCAGACTATGATGACGTTCCCTCTGAGGACACAGAGGCAGCTGAGGAGGGCCAGGAGAAGCCTGAGTATGCAGAGGAAGATGAAGGGCACAAGGTCACAAGCCCTGCGTCTGATCCTGCTGAGCCGGAGCAACCTCATCGAGAGGTGGTGGTGAAGGAGGAGGAAAAGGAGCAAGAGAAGGAGGAGAATCAAGTAGAGAGTGATAGTTCAGGCAGTGGGCAGCCATTAGAGGACAGGGAGGAGAAAAGGGTGTGCGACCACATCCTTCCCCCTCGTCTGCCCAAAGAGCACACCTACCAGGCTTACATGAAGATCCAGGATATCAGCCCTGTGTTGAGCAACAGGGTTAACCTGAGAGACCTGCAGGAGAGCATCGACACTCTGATAGGAAACCTGGAGAGAGAGCTCAACAAAAACAAGCTCAACGTTGGATACTGACTCCTCCCACAGTGACACACACATACCCACTCACACACTCATATTGCCTGATGAGGTTTGGGGAAGACCTTTTTTACTGATCACAGTGCTTCAGGATATAGCCACAGTGTTTCCATGGAGATCCTGTGACATCACCATGGCAGTGGAGCAGTGCTGCTGTGAAAAACCTAAAGGATGAGATGAGAAGAAATGTAACGGGGCACTTCTGGCATTTGTACCTTACCCATAGACATTCCGTAATGTTTGTATTTACTTTATGTTGTTGTTGTTGGTTTGTTTCAGTCCGGTTCTGTGTTCCATGTTGTTATTGTTGCTTCTCTTCTTATTAGAAGAACCCATTGACCCCTCAGGGGTTTAAAAGGTGCCTTAATTGTGTGAAGGTGGTACGTCAAGAGGAAAATCCACCCTGATATAAAATGTTTCCCCTCATATGGTGTTGATACAGTGTTGCCAACCAACACGATCACCTCTATAATGTTATGAAGAGTTGTTTTTACATCGAAAAAGGCTGCAGTATGTTATATTTTTTAAGAGATACAAATCCACCCTGGGTACAATGGGGTTCTACTCATGCAAACATTTAATCTGTGATACTCATGCCAACAATTGTGGAGCAAAGTGATAATAAACAAGTATTCACTTTTTAAAAATTGACCATTTGCATACCAATGCTTCCAGAGTTTCCCACCAAAGTATTATCTTGGCAGGCTTCTGAAACAGCATTTAAATATTGAACTTACTGGACAGGAAAACATCTGGGATGCATTAGGCCTTTCAGTTAAGAATTGGTTTTCAGCTAAAATATGTAATTGGGTAATTCAATTAATAAAAAAATGTTCAAAGAAAACACCACCATCCTGTTGGTTCTATAGTCAAGGCTGGCCCTCTATCACTTTAGGCAGTTTAAGAAATATGTTCCGATATTTTATTCAACCCAACTGTTATCAACCAGAACATTAGTCTAGGCTGAATGGGATTTGTTCCTGACTACAAACTAGCTCATACAGTCTGTTTACATGCTCAGAAAACAATAATACAGTGTTTAGTAATACAAACCAAGATCATATGTGTACATTCTGTTTTAGGGTGGATTTCCTTTTTTTAAGGCAGCAGAGAGCTTTTGTTATTGAGGTATGAAACACTAAATGTTGTACAACATTAATGCACTTATGAGGCAGGCAGTAGTGTAGATTGTCATTATAGTTCATGCAGTAAAAAATATCATGGCTGTGGACTGAATTGAGGAAGAAACAGCTGCCACTGAAACCTCCTTTTAAGGATAAATATGATACAAGATAAGGGTAATAACACTCTTATCTCTGTTCATACAAAGCTGTACAGTAGAGATGTATTTATCTTAAGCAGGCAACTAAAACAGAGAAAATGTATGTCATGTGACATCATTCATTTTAGGCTTAAAAGAAGTCCAACCTTTTGGGAAATGTGCTTATTGACTTTCTTGCTGAGAAGGAGATGAGATGATTGAGAGAAGATTGATACCACTCTCTAACTTGGTGTCAGTCATCACATCTACCTCTCTGCAAGAAGAGGTATAATCTCAAGATGTCAGACTGATCAAAGTCAAATAAAACAAAGTCACCTTTCTGCATTTCCCAGCTTTTGGTAAAACCATGAAATACACAGCCCAAATGTGAAGCACAATTTTCAGAGCAGCAGTGTAAACTGTTAGTGGAGGGCTTCTGTTAGTACGACTTAGCTAGCTGCCTAAATCGACAAAGGACGTTTTCAGCAATCCAGGGATTCAGAATGATCAGTATTTAACCTATATGTATGTGTATATAATTATATAAATGTATTCGGAGTATATTATTTTTACAGCTTCTATTTCAATGGTGTATTTAAATACTTCTAAAGACCTCTTAGTGTTGACTTGTAGCAATAGTTGCTTTTCCTCCCTTTAAGCTACCTGTACACATTTTAATGTGCTGGACTAATGGTACAATTTTAGCTGTAAAATATATGATAATATCGTGATCTTGCAGAAAAAGTGATATTGTTATTTTTATTGTATTGTGTATATATTTGACATTGTGTCTCTAGTGGACTAAGCTGTGTTCATGATTTTTGGTGTTTTTTTTTTTAAATGTACTGAACTTTGCATGGTCAAAAGCTTTACTGACATAAACAAGGCTCTTTCTCATTTGCTTTTGTATTTTATATTTATGGGTAAAAAGACTTATCTAGAAATGTATGCTTGTTTGTTCGTCACCCTGTTTCCCCAATAGACACATTGGCTGCATTGGTCAAGCTTTTCTCTAGAGGACTTAAAGGCAGACAGTGATTCAGTTTTTATATTATATATTTTTCACTATTGTTCCACACCTCACCCACCTACATGGTAATCTCTTCACGGTCACGCTGTGCTGTCAGTCTGAGCTGGTCTGGTGTAAGTGAGTTTCAGCAGGGTTCCTTTCAAACCATCTGTCTGCCCGGGCAACACAAAAAGAACCAGGGCATCATTTACAGTACAGTATAGAAACTAACATGGAGCATCACCTGTAGTTTGATCTAATTTCTTCAAATGTTGATGTGGATTTCTGCTCTCTGATACACTCTTCCCATAGTTTTTCCTCACCTATGGCTGAATTATACTCTTCAGGCATCCCTGTCTGTTTTATCATCCTCTCACCTCCCACCTTCTCATCTCTCTGTCACTAAATATAAACACCTGCATAATTTGTCTGTGCATTACATCCTGGATGGTTAATGTTTCTGTCTTGTCTTCTTTGTCCTTTGGAGAGAAAATGTCACATGGACAGCATCACTAAACAAAACAGAAAAATGCTTTGTATTGATCCTGAGAAATGTATGGTCATAATAAAGTATATTATTTTACATTCACACAGGAACTGTGTATTTTTGTGCCAGGTTCAGAAAGTCCCTCACTGGTTGTCTGGGAAGGTTCTCAGTCATCCAGGTCATAGTTATCCAAGGAAGGTTAAAGTCAAGGGCAACTGTATTGGGTTGAAGATCCCTCACTGGTTCTTGGTTTCAGCTTCTATCTGGTGAGGATGTAACTGGGCTTTAATCTCACATTTTCATATTTTTAATACATTAATAGTACATTTTCCACACATCATGGTTGTAGTTGCAATATCACCTTTCCTTCACACTAATTTTTTACTACCCAGAATCAAATCCTCAATAAAACTCATTTGAGCTAAAGCTTCACTGACACTGGAACAGGATTTCACAGATCTGATTATGCAGCTGTTTTCTGTGCTAAAAGAGTAACTGGGTTTGCACAGTCAGAATAAATCTTTAGTGCACGGTTAACACGGTTCTCACTCCTACACACACGGACAAGCCTGGAATTCATTCATAAAAAATGTTATGACAATTTTTTATAAAAACACATGTGGTATGCTGCATGTGGCCCAGTAATCATATCACTCTTGTTGAAATAACTTGCACCGCAGCCACACTTTCCCAAACTATTCTAAACGCTGTCTTTGTTTTATTGAAAACCATTGGAAAAACATGACCTTAACTTCAGGAAACTGGACTGTTGTTTTGTAGATCCATCTCTTTGCTGTGGGAGCATTGTAACACAGCCTCATCAGAGAACAGATAAATATGTCAGGGAATTGCCCTTGTTGGCTTGTGGGAATCTCCCAGAAAGACTTCCAGCTTCAGGGACATTCCCAGGACGCAGCTGCATTTAGCCATCCGCTGCTGGAAGGCTGCAGTCTCACTGTGGCTCCAAAAACCAACATTACCAGGAGCACTCGTGAGATATATACAATTAACATAAACTTAGAATATGCACCAAAGGTAGATTCCAAGACAGTTTGCTGAAACAGTTAAAGGTCATTTTAATGTGAAGCATTTTTCCAAAATGAGATCTAAAATCAGGACCATGAAAACTGTACCCAAGCGGGTCCAGCTGAGGTGATACACATCTCTGGCAGTTAGCATGAGAAGCCAGAGCAGCCGCAGGCTTTTCAGCACTAACAGGTTTTAAGCCTTGTTTGATGTCACTACTGTAGGTTCACATCGTGTTTTTATGGCTTCTTTGAAAAGGTATGATTAAGCTTTAGGGTACAGAATGTACACATACCTGCCTGCGCCCTGCAGCTCTGTTTTTTAAGTCAAGAAAAAAAAACATTTAACTGCACTAAATCTCCATAAACATTCAGACTGTAATGTTGTGGAGATGGAGCCAAATATTTGACTGACAGATCAAAAATGTATATAATTTTAAATGCAGAGAATAATGTTTTCTTCCGCTCAAGTTATTTTGGGTCTCTAACAATAGAAAAGGATTTACTCAACGTAATATATCTATTTCTTAAAGTCCATCTTAAAACATCTGGGAAAAAAAGGTTTTATATTTAGACTCAGGTGCTTACTCTAAATGTGCCAAGTGCAAAAGCAATTCTCTCAGTCCCAATAAAAGCAAGAGTGAAATTCCATATGAAGACAGAAGTAGACATAATAACGCTGAGCTTGTTTGGATAGTCAGGGTCGCCACTTGATATCAGGCCGTCTGTTGGAGTGAACTGAGCTAAATTTTGTTCATTTCTAATTTGGGAGAGAGAAGAGATATGGGTCTCTTTAGGTAAACATCCTTGACAGCCACCTGCATGTGAAACCAGACCTTTTCTCCCCTTCTTCTTCTCTCTTCTGTTCCCCTAATCTCTGCTGACCTTTGAGTCGGTATCATGGCTGCAAGTCAACCAGCCAACCACAAAACACACGGTCTTTGTTTTAGATTTTCTTTTTTCGTTATAGTGTAGCGTTAACTGTCACAATAAAGTCCAAAGGTCTGGGGTGATTGGACCTTTGGTCAGCTTACCTGCTGAGTGATTAGACGTCATAGCAGACATTTAAAATTATCTATGTGACATTAAAGTAAAGCTGTTGGTGATATAAAGCTAAAATAACTGGCAAGCAACATGTTGTCTGCAGCACTGATCACATTAGGACAGTAGTCCTTGAAAAATCCAAACAGCATGTTGTTTTTATATTATGCTTTGTAAGCCTTACTGTTTCCCATGACAATGTTCAATAAGGGATGTGGAAATCTTTCTCAGCTCCAGGTTTATCAAGAAGTGTGTAGTCAAGGTGAAAAGTCTAATCTTATTAAAATAAAAACACACCAAGAACTAAGGTTCTTCAGGTAAGAAACAAAGGATCAATTTATTTCACATCCAAAAGGCGGAAAAATTCATTTAAACGTTTTGCTCATGAGACATGCACCTGGGCTTAAGCATATACATTTATTGTATATACATTTATTCAGATACATTTGTAGGCCTTTTGACCACAATTAGTTGATGAGTTTATTGAAAACACCTGCCTCTGACCACCTTCCTCCTGACTGGCCTTTGCCGTTTGTTCGCCTATTTAAGAAGCTCTATAAGTTCTGCTGATGATGGAAATACATCAAATTCCTAGTTCATTTCTTTTGAAAAGGGAAATGTGTGACTATTATTTCTGCCCACAAGACTACTAAAATACACAATATAATATACCGATATGCCGAAATTTTGGCCGTGAACAAACATCCATTAACTTCATCTTCTGCTCTAATGAATCTATGCAGTGAACTAAACACACTGCCAGTAAAGGGTATAGCCTTTTAAGGTTTTAGTGGAAGCAATTGTAAAACTGTGAAAACAGTTCAATGATAGTGATCAGGAAGAAAACTAAGTAACAACAGTGAAATATCAACATATAGAATGCAGTAATACATCTAGAGTAAAATCCATAACAATTAGCCCACTGCTGGAGGCTATATAGTTCAACTGATTCAGAGATTGCTTTACCTGCTTTAAGTCCATTATTCATGATTAGGCCTACTGAACCCCCACCAACACTTATGAAAAATGTTTGGCTCTACCACTGTCTTGAAATGTTAACATTTCTCACACATTGATCATCCTGCAAAAGAGCCGATAGTCCCTGTGAAAATTTGCCTGTTAACCATGTATGACTATATTTTGGCCAAGCAAAGAAGATTTACTCAACGTTGTGTTTTGTTAAGTGTTAGCATGTTTTGTTTGTAGCAAATGTAGATCATCACTTCAACACAGCAGGTATGACCAAGACACCCGTGTCCCATAAACTTGGTATATTACTTTAAAGGGGCTATATGTAGTTTTTCAATGAAATTACTTATTAATAAATCAAATTTTTAATGCCTTTTTTCAGTGGGCTGTAGCCTCACTTAGAAATGAAGGACATGCCTGTTTTCTCTGTGGCTTGGAACAGCCACTATTCTGCTTTTACTGTGAAGGCACCGGGTCGGGATGTAGCCCTGTGCGCGCTCCCGAGCCTCTCTCCAACTATAGCGACGACACCTCAGCTAACGACATTCAGTCCACTAACACCGTAAAGCAACTGGCTCCCAGCACAACACGGACTCCAACAATAGGGTGACCAAACCTTTGGTGGCCTGTCCCCATCTGGAGCTGTCCCCGGAAATGTCCCCGTTTTTAACTGTTCATAGACTGTATAAGGTGTTAACAGACCTGAAATCAGATTTTAAGTGCCCAGAAACACTGGACAGCAGAGTGTACAGGTATTGTGCCGAAAAGTGATCGCTGAAAACTAATCGCTGAAAACTGATTGCTGTCTGCGGGAGCACTAGCATCATGTTAAAGCTCTATTGCCCAGTCTCTTTACGTCTACAGCTGGTTTTATCTGGATCAAACAGACATAACGTGCAAATAAACATCACTTTATGTCCGTGGTAGTAGCAAAGATGTGTCTTTGTGATAGATTTGTTTATACTAGCCTTGATGCAAAGCAGGAGCAGCCAGCTACTTTAGCACGGATCTACCACTGTTTTCTTCACAACGTTCAATTGTGGTTTTACCGATACTCAGGTACACAGCTTCTCCACAGTCTCAGTTGCTGTAACTTACGTGACACACATAATATACAATAGTACAACATAATGCCACCTGAGGGACCTTTACCCGAGTTTCCAGCATGTTGTGTGAAGCTGTCTCCCTGTCTCTCTATAGCAGCTGTCACACTTGCACTTTTGTTCTGGGAGTATTGTGCTAATATGCGGCTCGCTGCGCTGTAACCGGGACGTGGGTAGAAACAGAGCCTGAACAGCCACTGTCGCCATGCCGGTGTTTCCGGATTTATTGCGGAATTTTTGTATGAAAGCGGTTGTGTTTTACGAGCACACACCTGGTTGTAATCTTAAAACCGCATCGCTAGTGGCTGCTGAAAACTACATATTATCCCTTTAAATGCCCTAATTTTTCAGCTGCTGACTCTGAGCGATTTGGTATTACAATTTTTTCTTTTGGTTATTTCACGAGTTACTTCTGTATTTGTGTTTATGTCTGTGCTGTGAAGAAGGAGAGTCTGATGTCACATAATTCTGAGCACTGATTTTGAAGAATTTGACGTATGAAGAAACAATTGATGACCTTTGGGAGGTTGTTTGCTTATATTAGTTAGGTTACTAATTTTGTCATCCAATACTTAATGTTGCAGTGAGTGTTTTACAATTAAAATTTAAAACATTTAAAATGCTTTGTTGTCTCCAGAGGAAGACATTTATCAAGTGCTCAGGCCAACATGACTCAGACGCATGACAAAAACATGGTATGCACTCTGTTCTTCTGATTCAATCACTGCTTAATGCTCATAACAAGGTTTACCATAATGTACATGTCATTACATACAAATTACAAAGTCACAATGTTTAATCCTCCTGTACATCTGCTGAGATGCTCAAGTTGGTTAATGTTCTACAATACATACTCCTTCTAAACATGGGCTAGCTAAGCCTGGGTAATTGCTGGGAACCTTTGCGCTGTGACCCTGGGCGCACATTCCATACATGCAGTGCCCTTCAATAGGAGGGCTATTAA